AAAAAAAAAAAAAAAAAATACCATTTTATAGTTTTGTTTCTTTAATCAGATGGATATCCCTCAAATATAAGGTTTCAAGTCTGAAGCAGGTTGAAAGATTATTTTATATTCTAGATCGAGGACGCATTATCAAGAAAGTAAATACAGGCTTAGTTACTTGTGCAAGGCCCGAAATAAGGCGTGAAGTTAAATATACACTTTAATATTGTTATAGTGCCTGATCATTTACGTCATCTATGCATTTTCAGGAGATCTAATACTCTATCTCTTCAAGATTTAATTCCCAGTTTAAGGTACCATAGTGGTGTGATTCTCTTTTATTTTATCAAATATACTCTTTCTTTACAGAACATGAAAATTTGTGAGACATTTTCATAAAGCAAAATAATATTTCACAGAGAATAATGCATGTATATTCGGCAAGAAGTAATGAAATTTTATGTTCCTTAGTGTTTTGATATGTTTTTTTAATACGCAAAAAAATGAAAGTTCGACTTTGTCAAACACAACTCTTATGAATTTAGCTTCTTTCAAAGTAGGGTAAATACATTTGCGAACCAAAGTCAAGTCGTTCATGAAACTGTACTCTTATGAGAGATACCCTTGTTTTATAACGCAACAACGATATAGACATTTATTAATAAAATAAAATGAATCTGGCCTAGTCAGGTAATCTCATCCCAACAGAGATTTTTTATTTGATTCACAGAAAACGAATGCAAGTATTGTTTATTCTTCTAGTGATATTTTACATTTCCTACCATAATTTTGGCAAGTCATCCCAATTGTGCGTCTTCCTTCTCTCCCAGTAACTCAATTCGCCTGCTTTGTAAATCCATTCACCTGTATCAGGATTTTCAGGGGCGCCACCTATTTGCTCAAAGAAAAACGGTTTATATGTGACTCCCGAATTCTCAATCATTTTCCTTCTCTCACGCTGACCATCCTCGAGCTTCTGTTTCAAACTCTCGGCATCTTTTACCCTTCCTTCTTCGTATACCTTCATGTCAGGCCTGTATCGAGAATCTGTAGATGGCAAATTGCCCTCCTCAATTGAAGTGATTTTGTTCAAACTTCCGGCAAACTTAGTAAAGCCAAACTTTTTCTCACTTTGGGGCAAAAGCTCACCAGCAGTCCAAATGACTTTCTCTGTTGAATTTGTTTTCAATGTCATTGAATCTGTCCATTTTCCAGAAACAGTATACGGCAAAGGCTTTTTCAGGGGGTCATATGCATGTATACTCAAATCTTCTGACCGTCCACTAAACATCCCTCCTTTTGCGAAGCTAATCACTGCTTTTTGCCCGGAACTAGACTTCACGGTGATGCTTGTGGATGGCTCAACAAACTTTTCTCCAGCAATCATGTTTTTCAAAACACATGTAGGTTGAGACCAAGTGAAAACCTCACCAGTCTTTCTAATCGTAAGCTTCACATTTCCTGAAGTATAAAACTCATAAGTTTTGCCCCAAAACTTTTGAGAAGGAGCAGGACTGAAACTCAATGTCCAATTCGGGGACTCAGCAAACATAGCAAATACAGGTGGTCTGTGAAATACTTTCTCGCAAACTAGCCTAAATCCTTTGTCCTCTCTGACTAATTCATATGTTTCTCCCAACAACGGATTGAATGGCTTACGAGAACTGCGTACTTTCATTCTCATTGCGGCTAGATACGAGATGGAGAATGCGCCAATTCGTAAAATCAATTCTCCCGAGTTTTCTGGATAATCTCCTTGTAGGGCATTATCTATCAAATCCGAGTATTCGAGAATTTCTGCATACTTCTGCAAAACAGTTATCGGTTCGTTCATATCGACAGGCATGGACAAAGACGAAAGATCTTTTCCAACACTTTTGCGTACAAAAGAAAGGATACTAGGCGGATAGTGGTCACATATTGGTATGTCACAGTCTCTCTCAACTGGGTCATGAGGCAAAGGATATAAGTCATTAACTTCAGACGATATTTCGGAAGCAGTAGTTGATTTTTTTGTAGTGATTTTGGGAGCAGGTGGTCCCTCTGAATCGGCGTCCGATTCAGATGATGATTTTTCGGACACAATATCATTGTCATCAATAAATTCATTCTCTGGTCGAGTTTGCTTTGTTTGAGGCATTTCAGTCATTAGAACTATCCCATAATCGTTTTCATTTTCGATCAAATTTTCGTTAGCATCGAAAAATTCATTATCAGAGATGATCGAAGTAACGTCCGAGGGTACCAGCTGGCTTAAAAGATTGGAGATATTTGACGCAATGACTTGTAAGTCTGCCTTGACAGCATCGGGGGGTTTGGAAGAATAATTTGTTATGAGAGTTTTGACATGACTTTCAACTTCTCTTAATTGTGTGGTCAATATTGAATCTCTCTGGTTTGACAAAGGGCTTGCTATAGATTCAAGAACAAGTGTTCCATTTTTCTTTATGATACTAAAAGCATTCACCCAAGCCTTGAGATCCTTGGTACTTAAGGCTTTGAGATTCCAGACCTCCATCCCTGAGTCAATAAATATTTGATTTGTCTTGGAATCTGCACTAACAATGGCATCTGTTATGGGCATCTGACCTCTTAATTTATTGTCATTATTTTTGAAATAAGACAACGTCCCATACTTGAAATTAAGAATGAAAAATCTCTTTGTAAACCCTTGGAGCTTCTTTCTTCTCTTTTTTGACAACACACCTTGCATCAACTCCCCATCCTTAGGCCACAATATATTGGCCGTAGTTTTCTCTGAGCCATTTAAATGATCTGCTTGGGAATTGTGTTGATAGTTTTGTATGGGGCTTATTTTGGAGGAATTCTCTGATTCTCCATTGGATATCTTTGCACTAAAGAGAACTTTCTTTCCCGTTGTTTTGGAGAATGTGTTATCGAAAACAAATGCGAACGTGCCCCCTTTGTCGGCTTGATAAACACCTCTTACCAATTCATCAGGAAGCAACTTGTAATAGTCTTTGACCAAAATTAGCCCTGAATTGCTCAAGCTGCTTGAGAATGTGGAAGATCGTGATCTACTCTTGAATGTGCTCAGACGCGATATCGTATTCACCGACGCAACTGAAGTTGATCTCAAATTACAAGCAGGTACTTGTGAGTTCAAGGATATGTTGGACTCAAACCCAGGAAGCTCGGATCTTAGGATAGTTTCCTCGGGTAAGTTTTCCATGGGGACAGGGACTAAGTCGTTCTTTTGATAGATAGCGAAGTTAATGGACTTTTTGAGGGATTTCACCTGCCATTTTATAGAGCTGTTATCAGGGGCGTTCACCCACTTTACCAAAAAATCTTTCGCTTGAACCTCCAATGTTTCCATTTTGTAAAATGTTTCAAATTAAACAAATGGAGAGCTCAGAATTTTAGGCTTGTCTTGAATTGCTAATCTGAGCGGATCAGAAAAGTATTAATTTGGTCAGTCGCAGACAATTTCTTGACCTTGGCAATGTAGTATGCAGTTCCAAAGCATAAAAAGGTGTCATCATGGTTACAATTATTAGAATTGTCGATTTTGCGCGTCATTTTATGAATTCTGATACGAAAATAGATCAGATATTTACTGTTGGTAAGAACAAGTGACACCCAAACAAATTTTTGACAGGAGTATTGAAGCTACACACAGCACTTTTTGACAATAGGTAATGCTGGCACTTCCATGTTCAGCATCTTTGGAAACAAGAAAGCCACAAAATTTGGTCGTTGAGTATTTTGAAAAAATAGATGTGGAATATGTTGGAACTCCCTTTGGAAATCTTCTTTGTTCTAAGTTATTTTGTTCTACCCCTTAATGCTCGTATTGACCTGTTCCATTGACGGTTTTTACTTTTGGAGATACCCCATTTGTGGCACACATCCGTCGCACAGTACAAAGAGATGCTGCTAATCGAAACTTGACAGTGAGCCTCACAGGAATAAAATAAAGGACAGTGCTCAAGAAGGAAGACCATTTGGTATTTTTGGCCTGCTTTGTTGGAATGGGGGGTGAGCGAAATCACACTCCCACAATATTTTTAAACTAGCTCCCTAATCGGATGTACGTAGGTTTAATTCAGGGCTTGTTTTCAACTTTGAGAAGAGCTCTTATGGAAGATAGTGACGAGCAATTCGGAAATGATCAAACCTTATGTCCCTTCCCCCAGTGCTAAACTATAGATCTTGTCGTGTGAAAAAAGCTCAAAAAAATGAATGGAATTTAAAAATGATCACGCCCAGGCTCGAACTGGGGACCTTCTGCGTGTGAAGCAGACGTCGTAACCAACTAGACCACGCGACCTTTGATGAGTATTAAGATACTTTCTGTATATTATTCTTAACTGGATCTTTCAGAGGTTATTAACTCTTACTTGTGGGAGAGGCCACGGGATAATAGAGCTGTCTAGGCGAGATAGGTCGCCTGACACGGAATAGGCCGTTGGCTCAGAGGATAAGACTGATAAGCTTATCCTAGTAATATTGATACCGGAAGCGTACGGTAGTAACGGAGAGTAACCTTTCTTAAGGTGATCTACTCTTATGTAGTAAGGCTTACCCTTCTAACTAACAGGGTGTTCAATCACCTTCATATTCACTTCTCTCCGTCCGGCATATACGACCTCCCGGACGTCACGTGCACATTCTACCAACGTGCCACGTGACTAACAGACTAATCCCAGAGAAAGTACTGTTACAATGAGATTAGTAAGAAGTGGTAATAAAATATCCATATAAGAGTTTTTAACTTATTATATAAAACAGGTCCTATTTTGTACATTTTTTGTTTTTTTTCTTCCATTTTTTATTTTTGGGGATTGGTTTCACCTACATGCCTGGGTTTGGATCATAGCTGGGAGCTGTTTAAAGGTTTTTTATTATATTGTTTGTACAATTTTGCTCCTTTAATTAGGTGAATCTATCAAAAAATGATAAGGTGACATTCAGTACTTAAACACATACATGTCAAGAGGAGGAGTTTATCTAGTTTGTGACTAATAAAAGAATACAGGCCGCATTTTGCCACTAGGTGCGAACTTGGGATTTGGTAAGGTTTCTGTATCATATTTGATAGTTTCGATTGTTTGATCGAATGAACCTAATAAAAGAAAGCACTCACACCAATGAGTGTCTGGCTTTTTAGCTTCTATGGCACAATGATGGCTTTGCATGAATCTCAGATTAATGATTGCTTCATTAGACACATCATTGGAGGATCTACTAAGCCTGACTATTTATTCGTACATCTAAAAAAAGGCTCAAAGCGGTGAAAACTACATCTGTTGCCCTTCAAATGGAAAACATGTAATCACGAGCTCTTCAGGAATCACATCGAATGGACCAACCAGAGCTGGCAATTGGGCACTTGAAGCGTTTGAAGCCATTCTAACCAGAAATTTTGAAATAAATTAGCGTGTTCTCAGAGAATAAATGAACACAAGCACCTAGTCACCCGATTTTAGATTGCGAATAGTCCTGAGTCTTTTCTTTGTATGATTCAGCCATGATGCCGTATAGAAGATTCTTAATATATCCTTTCCAGTCGTGACCTATAATATCATGTCTTCTTAGAAATATACCCGGTGTAAGCCCCAGCTTTTCCTCGCTATTCTTATTGGGGGCCATTTGGTTTCCTGTGTGTATTAAAGTGCCATCCTATAAGTATCAGCTCCTGTCTCAGGGTCTTCGAGCTACACCCTCTGAAAAATTTTCCTTCCCGAAATCATCAGGGAAGGAAAATTCTATTGAAATGATTCATATATTTACTTATCTTTGGTCAAAATTAGCAATGTAAGAAAATTGAAAGAAAGACTAGCAATGAGAAACGAAAGACTTAATACCATCCAACCAAACGCTAATCAATGTAGAGCGAACTAACTCTAACGAATAATAAACTATGTTCTTGCCCCAATATTGTAGAGGCAGGGTTCCTTGTATACAGAAACAAGCTAATTATTCGAAGGTTACTTTTTGATACATATGAAAGATATGTCAAACCTCAAAGTTCGGGTTTCCAGATTTGGAAAAAACATTGGTAAATCACGCATTAGTCATGACGTAAATTGCTGAAATAATCAACATGAAACACATATCAAAATTTGAATAAGCTGCAATGATGTTTTCAGAGGGATTTTTTAAGGAGCTGATACTCAGAAGTAAATATCAACCGTGCTACGTAACGAATTTGACAAAGCATGCTTGTTCTTTGGTATTTTTATTCTCAACGCTTCTGTACCAGCAATTATTTCCAGCCGCGAAGCGAGACGATATTCTTATCAGCTAAAGATATGCAGGGAAAAGCCCGAGTTGTCGTGTATAAGTATCCGCGGAATTTTCCGCATGGCCCTAAAATTTGACACTTTAGGCTTCAAGGTTCGAACAAGCTCCATGGATCAGGGACACATCAACGACCCATCGGCAGGAAGCGCTGGTATAATTGCTTCCGAGATCGCAGACAGCGAGCACTTGTTGGATAAAAGTGGATCTTCCATTGGAGCATATGGTTCTACTGAGACACGCGACAACCAGGAATTGGATGTGGATGAGATAAACGGATCTTTGCCAAAAGCACAGTTTTACACATTAATTGGCAGCATCTATATGGCTAGCTTCTTGGCAGCTTTGGATACAACAGTTGTCACAACTTTATTGACTGTAATCGCTTCAGACTTGAATGCAGTTGAGAATATAAGCTGGATAGCCACTGCTTACCTTTTATCATGTTCCGCTTTCCAACCAATATATGGCAAATTATCCGATATATTTGGAAGAAAAATTCTCCTTTTAATTTGCTGTTTTCTTTTCGCGGTAGGTTGTTGCATCTGCGTCACCGACTCGCTTTTGCTTTTAGTCATTGGACGTTTTGTCACAGGCTGTGGTGGTTCAGGGCTAACCACTCTAGGTACAATCACCATGTCAGACTTGATTCCCCTTAGAGATAGAGGCTTGTACCAGGGTTTAGCAAACATTTGCTTTGGCCTAGGTGCTGCATCTGGGGGTATCGTTGGGGGTGTTGTTGCTGATATTTTCGGTTGGAAATGGGTATTCATCTTTCAAGTGCCTCTCGCGATTATTGTCGGGATTGCAATCTTTGCGTTTCTTAATTTACCCGAAGGATCCCCTGGATTAGGTGCTACAGGAACAGACTTTTACGAGAAATTAAAACGCGTGGATTTTCTTGGTGCATTTTTTTTGGTGTCATCGCTTATGGTAATTCTCACAACAGCGTCAATTGGGGGCACACAATTCGCGTATTCTTCGAAAACTTTCATTGGGTTGGTGGCTCTTTCTGCTACCCTTTTATCCTTATTTATTTATACAGAGTGCTACATCTCTGATGAACCTATCATTCCAATGGAAGTTATGACTGAGAGGACAGTGTTGGCTTCTTCGCTCACAAATTGGTTCTACACAATGGGTGTTTTCACATACCTTTTCTTCATTCCTTTGTTTTTTCAAACAGTGATGGGACTTTCCGCTACCCAGAGTGGCGAGAGAGTTATACCCAATTTCTTTGCTGTATCGCTTGGATCAGTTGGCGCAGGTCTCTACATGAGAAAAACTGGTAGATACTACTCTTTAACAGTTGTTGTTGGTATCATTTCTTTATTAGGAATGTTTAGGGTATTGAATTTATCACCTGAGTCGTCGTTGTTCACACAATTTACAGTTTTGATTCCTCCTGGATTTGGCTATTCGTGTATCTTGACAGTCACGCTACTTTCACTCATTGCTGCTGTTCCAATGAAATATCAAGCATGCACCACTTCTATTCAGTATACCTTTCGGGCGACAGGTTCTACGATTGGTGTGTCAATAGCTAGTGCAATTTTTCAGAATACTGTCAAAACTAATTTATCTCACAACATTCACCAGGTGATTTCAGACCCCAAATTGGCAGAAAAGATCATTAGAAGGGCTCTTGAAAATACAAATTATGTTAGGGAGGCTCCAGAAATTGTTCAAAGTGCTATCAAGCAAGCCTACAATTCAGGATGCAAAGGAACTTTTATTTTCAGTACCGTTACAATTGCTTTGGGATATATCTCGTCATTGTTCATGAGAGAGCACGTTCTCCATAAGTCAATGAGTAGAAAATAAGGTCAGGAAATCTCAATAAAAGTTTGTATATAGACTTACTTTTCAGTCTCTATTTAGTCTGTATTTTGCGCAGCGTATTCTAGACCAAACTTGTGATTTACACCTCCAGATAGCACAAGATTGGTGGATTCTTCGTGCACTGAAGAACCACCAATCAGCAAATCTGAATTTATGTATGATCGCACAGAATAATTCACGTTGCGCAATGGAGATTCATCGGAAGAGTCTTGAGGATTGACATTTAGGGAGAAATTCGATACTTCCTTAAGTTGAGTCAACTCTGATATTTGTCTCTTACCTCGCCATCCAAGCTTGGGTGACATCAAAGAACGAATTCCAACATCATTACCAAACATTGCCTGCGCCGATGATGAAGCCAAATAGGGTGAAAGAATTGGGCTCAATATTTCATCATCTTGTATCGCAGCTTCAAGAGTTTCCTCTATCACCTCTTCAATCAACTCATTCTCTGAAGTGATATTAATGTTTATCAAAATAACAGATACCAAAATGCACAAGACACCAAAGCCATACATTAACGTTCTGGACGCCGAGGAAGGTGAAGTATCTTGGGAGATGTCGAGAATAAGTAGATCCAAAAAAATCGTGATGGGAATTGAGGAGGTCAAGGCCAAACTAGTGACAAGTGGGCTCGTGAGTAGCATGGCCAAAATAGTGACATAGTCCGATACAACGGAGAATATTGCATTGATAGAGATCATCACAAGAATTGAATAAGTCGAGGGAATCTCAAACTTTTCAACACCGAAAAAATCCGAAAAGATGAGGAGCGGAATTCCAAAGAGAAGACTGAAGACTCCTACCCACCCGAAAAGCTCTCGTTCATTCGTAGTTTTTTGACCCGTACCACACTTCGTTTTCATCCTGATAAGGTATAACGCATAAAAGAACGCCCCAAGTAAAGCCAAGAAGTTACCGTAAACAGAACTCTTAGATTTGAATTTATTTTCAGTGCTTCCACTCAAATCTTCACCACCCAAATTGATGAGAATCACACCAATTAAACTACTGACGACGCATGCGAGCTTTTTTACCAGGAATCTGTCAATTTTCATCATAATGCCCAAACACAAAGTGAAAAAAGTAGTTGTGGATCCCAATATTGTCTGATTTGATGCGGATGTGTACTGCAAAGACAGTAGCACCATTGTATTGTACAAACAGTAAATCACTGAAATTTGAAAAGCCAAGGACAAAACTTCGTGGAAGCTTAGAAATTTTGACTCGCAATGTGGTGCATCGAGATAAGTTGAGGGTGTGAAAGCTTTCCAAGCCACTTGATTGTATATCTCTAGGTCAGAAGATGAGAGTAAGGGTGAAGAGTTTGGGAAGGAAGTAGGAGCCAATCTCAACATATTAGCAATACACGACACCAAATTAGGAACGAAGTTCAAGATGAAGCAAGATCCAGTGAGGACGGCCAAAAAGATTGGTTTTTGAAATTCATTCCCCTTTAAAACGGCGTTGACTAATTCTAGGCCGACGATCCAGGTACATATAGCGACTATCAAGAGGATGACCCCGAGTTTGAAGTTCTTCTTTTCTTGATCATTGATAACCTCGATTACTTCATCGACACTGCTTAACACACGACAAGGAATCTCCTGTGCCTTGACTCTAGGGGAAACTAACGTTGATACGTTAGGATCCGAATGACTTTGTAGCATGCTTTTAGAAACAGTACTTTTCCTGTACTCATTGATGATAACAATCCGCGGACCTTATCGAAAAACAAGTGAGAACAATCCGCGATTACTCGCCCATTTGGGAAGTTGCGCGTCTCAGATATCTACATGATTCAAAAGTAGAAGTAGTGGCTTATGATTGTTCATGATTACTTATAAATCTTGTGACCACCCGTAAGTTGCAGCTAATCGCTTATCTAAGTGCTGTTTAGCTGTAATGGGAACCGTATCTTTGTTGGCACCCCTGTGTTTTATATCTCTCACTATTGCACTAGGGACAGGTCCCAATAAGGTAGCGTCGTTGGGATGACTGAAGAATACTATAGAGTAGCGATCTTTACCACTTCTTTGGGCTTCGGCTGGAAATTTCACTCTATGAATGGTTGACTTCAATAAACCACCTGTCCAATAGGATAACTGATCCGCAATGTTGACAATTATGGGAGGTGCTTGGCCTTTCGCCTCGGGAAAGCTTGAAGGGACAAAAGGAACCGCTTCCCACTTTTTAGAAATTGGAGAGTAAATTTCTAGCCCTTCTTGTCCTTCCTGTTGAAATAATAATGTCATGGAGCCATAATCTGTGTGAGCCCCCGCTCGAATTGTAGACTCCGGGTCCAAAGACTTTTGGCCCGGATAGTGCAAGAATCTAAAAGTCGTCCCCGAGGCCTTCTCGGGGTCGTATCTAGATGTAAACCAATCAGTTCCATCCACTTCCGTATCTTCTATATCCAACCCAAGAGCAAGTATTTGCAATATCTTGATCGACAAGTTGTAAAGTTTGGAGATTGTTGAAGTCAATAATTTTTCTCTAGATGGATCATCTTTGAACCATCCTGGTATTTCTTTGGATGATGTTCCGGTTTTGAAATTCAATGAGCAGAAATTCAAGGCTTCTTTGGGATCCCCCCGCTTTTGCTTTGTAGGGTCTAAGTTCTCTCCCCCGTGATCCGTATAGCCATGATTTGATTCATCAATAGGAAATTTGCGCTTGTATTCGGCAGGCAAATCAAAAAATTCTTTAGAAAGGGCAAAAAGGTCGGATACTTCTTTTGCCGAAAAGCCATGCCCTTCTAAGAATAAAAACCCCTGGGAGGTAGCAGCATTCAAGAGTTCAGCCGCTGTATTTCTGTTGAAGTCAGTGATGTCAACAATTTGTAATGGATTCGAGTTGTTAGCCATTTTTTGAAACAACTGAGAGAATTGAAGAGTAGGTTGATGAAGCCAGCTTTCCTCTAGTACTGATTGTTGTAATGCACGTTCGTCGCGCACGCCGATCTGACTCGGGACCCTTCTCATTCCAAGGCCGCCTAGATGCAAAACCCGTTTGGACATGCGGACTTCTCAGCAGTCAAACAAACAAAAAATATCAGTATATTATGTAATGATTTTTTCTAATACTATGATTTTTTCATATCTGCCTTTGAATCCGCTTGGTTCAGAATTGCATATCTTTCACATCAACAGAAGTGATGGGTGTCTATATCGAATTGTCCGCAGCAGAATGATGCGCAACGACTCATATCGGAAGTGTGTGTAAGCTTTAGTTAGCGAATAACGCGGTTTCAACCATACGCGTCACTAGTTCCACTCCTGAGCAAAGGATATTTTACTGATGAAAACAATCATTCATAATGCTGACGCGCCTCTTGCAGAATTGAATTTGGTGCCTTGCAAGATTCAATACACGGGTCCTTCGAATACAAAAGACTACTTCTCCGCCTCAAAAAAGAAGGAAAAATGGCAGGATAAAGAAGTTGTGATAGCCAATTTTCGTGGGTTAAAATTGATCGGAGAAAATATTCAACTCGGTGACAAACTCGGTGTTGTTTGTAACACTTCAGAAATTTCAAGAGAGAACAGCGAGGAGGGGAGCGTAGAGACTTTAAAAGAGTTGAATCCAATTGCAGTGTTTGAAAAGGTCATTGTTTATGGCCATGACTCCTGTCCTTCCGAGAACAATAAATGGAAAATGTTAAATGAGTGGGAAGCCATCGCTGATGCTATTAACGGGTGACTTTTTTTCGTGGAGGCTCATGAAGAAGCTTGAAACTCATAAACATACCTTCTTCGATGAGTATAGCCCCGTCAGTAGAACCCCCAGCAAGAGCAGCTTTTTGAGAGATGTAATGGCCGATTATTTTGCTTGCAACACCAGAGGAATTCTCAGGAAGCCAAAGGGTTGGTTTCTCATAATTGTAACAGGGATGGAAGTATAGCAAGGCACCCCGTGAATGCTCACACAAAGATCCATTTCGCTCCTCTTCAATTTCTGCTGTTTCATCGCTCATTTGTGGGAAATAGCTGAAAAGCTTTTGGAATTGCCTGTAAAATACAATATTTCCAAAAATTGTGACAAGAAGGACACATGCCATCATTAAAGCTTGAAACTTCATTGGACAATCTCCTTTTTGATTTTCCAGGGACACGAAGATGCCTATCATACAACATTCCAAGCAGTAAATCCCTGAATACAAATGAAATAGCGCCCTTGGATACATTTTTCCATTTGTCTCGGAGTCATTCACATGACTGTACATGTAGTGAAGGGCATGTTTATAGTAAAGAAACGTCAACAGTAGTATCAATATCATAAAGACAGACACCACAGGTGAAATTGTGCTATATGTAATACCAATGGCTCCATAAACAGAAAGTGTAGAATATAGAGAGCCCCACTTCACCTTTCTCAACGAGGTTAATCTGTTGAATTTCATTCTGGGAGTTCTGTCAATCAAGGGATAAATAAAGAAGTGAGCCAATAGATCACTTAGCCTTAAAAAGTTACTCCCACAATATGAGAATGTTTTCACAGATAGGTATTTGAAAAAGAACACTGAGCTCTTTGGAATATTCGCAGCCAATAAAATGGGAATGGAAACTGGCTTTTCCACAACTTGAAGAAGTACGACAATAAGACTTGTCAGAACTGACACAACTAAAAATTGTTGAATGAACAAGAATGCAAAATACCAACATTGGATATCTAGCTCAAGTTCAGCTCCTGTCCAATTCCCTTTCAAAGATAATACGACTCTGAAAACCTTCAACTGCATTGTTGTTACCATACTTAACAAGATGGTAGGTAAAAAACTTGAGAATATAGTTTTTATTTCTTCAGGTAGCCGATTCAAAAATCCCATGAAGGGAATTAATTGAGTGATCAATGGAATTTGGGAGAATAACGCAATCAAGGACACCGGAACAACGTAGATACATATAATCACTGTCAAAAGCGAAACAAAGAAATACTTTTCAATCAATATCACCCAGTTATTTTTCCTTGCCAAGTTTCTCCAAATTATGTCATTATGATTGACTTCAACTATGCTTTCATCGAGAAAACCAAAATTCAGAGTTAACAAGACCTGATGTGCCATGTACGCAGACTCTTGCGATTTGAACATGAGAAAGACCTTGCTTTGTTTCACATAGTTTCCAGCTGCAATATCATCAACACGCTTTTGAAGAATTTCCAGAGTTTTTTCAAGATTATGGAGACACCAATCATCGATAGACTTTGGCTTCTGTAGAGCTATTGCTCTTAAAAATCCGGGTAGCCGAAGAGAGATCACTCTGCTAAAGATAGGAATTGATATTAAAGGCAAATAAATAGGTGGATAGAACATATCAAATTTGTGATTTAATTCCCCTGAAAACTGGCCCAAGGTTTTTAATATTCGCATTTGTTTCATTTCCAAAATATCTAAGGCCTCAACAGCTTTTTTCCACTGCCACCAAAAGTCGTAGTAATCATCCAAAATCCAAATGTGTTCTAAACCTTCGCAAAACAGATTGAAGGATTTGTGGAGCGAATCAGAATCGAGCAACGAACCTGGAACATTTCCCAAAAGTAAGACTCTTGATGAAGCCCTATTTCTGTGAGCAAAAGAATTTAAATATGTGTATCGTATTTTTGCAATACTGCGGAATTCATGTAAAATAAGGAAATTAAAGAATCCAATAGTTATCAATGAGCATACAAAGTGGAAATTGAGTCGGTCAACTTTACTCATTGCTATATTTGAAATGCTCAAGCGGTCGAGCCCCTTCGCACGAAATGTAAATGTGGAGCCTGTCAAATTGATGGGAAGAAGAACTATTAGATTCAATAGACCACACGAAGCAAAAAAAATCAAAAGGATATTAATAAACCGTAGGAAGAAATATGTATCCAAACCCATTGATAAGAAACAATTTATATCGTATTTCCAAGATGGTTTGATCCAATCAAAAAACCCCTGAGGAAGGAGCTCCATTCTCTCACCTTCTGGGGTGCAAAAACACCTTGGCTGGTAAATGTATACACATATAGCCCGCAAGTAACAAAACAAAAATATTTCTATTAAGCAAATGCATAAAGAAGTCATCAAGTGCTTAAGGAGCACGCTCACGTCAGTTCCATAAGACATGTGCGCAGAGCCTGTTTGATCATTGTTCAAAAACCTTACAAAGACCTCTGGATCCACGAAGAATTTTAGGAATGAGTATACTATGGATGAATAACTGTTTTGAAACGACGATTCCAGTATTTTCAGGGCTTGTATTATATTATTCATCGTATTTGCTTGTGTAGAGCTTGATATAGTTTAGAAACCTTTAAACAAGACAGGATCTTCAAGAATTAAAACTTCTTTTTAAATGCAACATCCCAAGGAAGTTCAAACGTGACACAAAACATAAATTTTGTAGGCGCAACTTTCCGCACCAAATGAAAATTAAATGCCTCAAATGGAGCCGAATATTGAATGTATTCAATAATCCGAGAATGAACCCTTCTATGAAGATCGTCCATAGTTGGTTCAGGTTCATCTGATGAATATTTTTCGAAACAATGAACATTGATAATTGGTAGTCTGAAATTTGGGTCACTCTTTGCAATTCTCTCCACCTCTTCATCATGAGTATACAAGCCAACAAATTCATCCAAGAAAGTCAACGCAGAGTCAGGTAAATTCATGACATAGTTTGAAATGAATTGGGGAATTTGAATCTGGGTTATCTCGACTGATTTCTCTGTTGTCGCCAATTGTGTATTAGAATCAGTTTTGCGGCGCTTGACAGTTTTCCGCTTTTCAATAACACTCTCAGATTTAGCCCAGTTCAAAATCATCGACGGGGAGTTTCTTATAAAGTCTCTACCATCTAGATTAGACGGCCTCACAAAATCTTCCACATTATTTAACCGTATATTTTCTTTGAGGTATTTGTATGACTCGGGATTCAAATCGTTTGCCAAAACCAAGGCATTTTTACGACCAGCAGGAACAGCAAAAGGCCCCACCCCGGCAAACACATCACCGACAACCTCATTGGGTTGAAATTGGGAAATGAGTCTATCGTGTTCAGTGCTGAGTCTCAGATTCCAATAAACCGAGCTAAAATCAAAGCGAAATTTACAACCACTTTCATTTTGTTCGACCACAAAGTCGTCCTTTCCAGCTAGCACTTTCATCTTAAATGTTCTAAACTTGGTGTCGATAGAATCAACTTTGTCCACAACTGTTTCAATTTTGGAATTTTTATCCAAAATAACTTGGCCGATCAAAGGTCCATATTCCTTGAACTCACTACGCAAATTAAAGTGAGCGATATGCCCAGCTTGAGCAAAGCCAGTGGGAATATCGTTGGTCAAATGTTCAGGTAAAACAGCATGCAAAATGTCATCAGCTTTCCAGAAAGAATAATCTAATTTGAGGGTGTATGGGAGTATCTCGACATCATACTCAGCAATTTTAGCCAATGCAGTAGATGACAAGAGGTCCCTGTAAGATTCCAAACTATCAATGTCTTCTCTTAACAATACACCTTTGGTTCCATTAATAGGCACAATGTGCTTAACACCAGACATGAGGAGGAAATCACCCTTACATGATTTCACAAAATCACCAAGAAACTTTGGATTTGGGAAAGCTGCCACCAAGAGAGAGACTTCCTTTTGGAAAAAAGATTTGTCAAGTACTCTCATTTGCCGATTGACAGGGGGACTGAATTTGCGCAGCACGTTCATGATTGATCTTCGTTCAGTTTTGCTAAAAAAGCTTAGTGCTCGCACTTGTATATCTTTTAATTGGGCCAAATTTTTGAACAAGAATATCTTGCAAGGGTCTAACATGCACGAGTAAACCTTGAAAGAGTTTCGCAGAGAGTTTTGGCAAAACCGCGTTGTTGAATCGTGCACTGTGAATGAGTGCACCCAAGAAGACCCATCGCGGACTGTACGAAAACTCTCTCCGAGAACTGTTGCATTGTCAGACTAAGATTTATCTCAAGACAAAATGGATTCTGTGATTAGTGTGACAAGACCCACTAAAGCTGTTTTGAATGACATTCATGACATTTCGGATATAGAAATGGAGGGTGATGATGAGGACATACCCTCATCGCACCGTCAAAATACAGAGCAAAATAACGCTATCGTAACGCCAGGAGAGCTTGTGACCGATGACCCAACTTGGATGAAAGGACATGGCACGTACTTTTTGGACAACCAGACTTTTTCCTCAGTGGCTGGAAATGTGTCAAGAGTGAACAGGCTTCTTAGCGTCATTCCTCTCAGAGGAAGGTACGAAGCGGAAACTGGTGATCATGTTGTGGGACGAATCACTGAAGTGGGCCAGAAACGCTGGAAAGTTGATATCGGCTGTAAACAAGATGCTGTATTGATGCTTGGATCTGTGAACTTACCTGGAGGTGTATTAAGAAGAAAATCAGAAAGTGACGAGCTTCAAATGAGAAATTTCCTAAAGGAGGGTGACCTTCTAAATGCTGAAGTACAGAGCGTCTTTAGTAATGGCATGGCATCCTTACACACAAGGTCTTTGAAGTACGGCAAATTGAGAAACGGGATTTTTTTGAAAGTCCCTTCCAGCTTGATCATCAAACAAAAGAATCACACCTACAACTTACCAGGAAACGTCAGTATTATTCTTGGGGTGAATGGATATATTTGGTTGAGTAAAACGAGTAGTGTATCTGGTACCAGTACTTCGAATACCTCCACCAACAAAGCGCAGAGCACTTTATCGGCAAAAGGCACCTACAACCCTGGTCAAGGAAGTATGTCCATTACCCGATTAGAGGAGGAGAGCTCATGGGAAATCTACAGCGATAAAAATGATGCAGACATAAGTGAGAGTACTCGTCATACCATAACTCGATACTACAACGTCATCAGAGCCCTATGTGCATGTGAATTAGGTATAAACGAACAGAGGATTCGTATGGGATACGATGCGAGTATGATGTACTCCGATGCAAGTGAGCTCATTGGGAAGGAGGCACAGGAATCTATTTGTAACGATTTGATTACTTCTGAAAAATTGCGCGGAGCAAACTAGCCTCAATAGCAAAAACATCCATGCAATTGATCTTTTTGGGTTGAGGACACTGTATGTTGCTTAGAACCAAAACTCTATGTTGAATAAAACTATCTATAGAAATCTCTTTTTTTGAGTAAGAAACGAATGTATGTTAGCTGAGCCACACCAAAAACGCATATGGTGGTTATTATTAACAAAGTGGTGCGGGTGAATGATTCAAAGATTGATTCATTGACATTTCTTAATTCACTTTCGAGCGTCTGCAAATTCCGAAGAGTTCCCTCTGATGATTTCAATTCTTCACTTACCTCATTCAACAGTGTTTGTAGATTTCTAACTGCATTATTAAAATCATTTTCTGTGAAATCGTAGTTCGAATAATCTCCAACAGGGTCATCATTTGTGTCAGTATTGGAGGGTCGGATGAAATATTTAGCGTAATTGTTATAGTTTGTTTGCTTCAAAGTGGTAATGTTTCGGATGCTGACATCTAAATGAACATCTCTTGGACTTTTCCGAAAGCTCCATGACTTATCGAAGTACACGTTATCGAAACAAATGTGCACCTGGGACATGCCCGACACATACAATTCATCTGCTATATTTTTAGTCTGTCTGCGGTATTTCAGTCCTAGTAGATTCTTCGCTTCTGTCTGCGGAATCTGAATGGGATTGTTGAGATTCGTGAAAATGACAGACTGCTCACCAGATATGTCTTGCATTGAGCGTAGGGTGTTGTCTTCTGAATCAAAAACACGAAGGTTCAATTGCTGAGACGGAACTTTGTGCCCGCTTTCCACACTCACCATGATGATGTCATCCTTTGATGTCGTGTAGCTAATGCAATTCAATAAGTTGGTCAATGAGGAATAGTGTTTCTGTTCGCTATAGACAACAGGCGGTATTGTCAAACCTATGGCGAACACATGTGACAAACATAGAGAGAGCACAGCAAGAAACGAGAACAAATATAACCTCATAGTAAATAATTGAAGGAACACTCTTAAACTAGTCGTGCAGTGGTGACTTGATTTGAACTTGAGCTATGTTGTGTTCAGCTGGAAATCACTAGTGCTTCGCAAGGTGAGGGAAGCCAGCCTCAGTTGAAATTAGATGGTAGGAGACAATACTAGAATGACAGTGGGATAAGATTTTTCACTGAAACCACTTTAACATCTGATGATTTTTTTAGTTGAGAAAAGTTTACTATGCGCCGCCTTCTCTGGGGGTTTTTCTTTGGTTCCATACATACTGCATCAATAGAAAAGAATCGCGAGGGCGCCCTCGCGAAGTGCCCACGAAGAGATAGGCTAATATATCCTCTGAAGAAGTAAGTTGTATTTGGAAAGCTTCTGAGAGGGTCACATATATCGAGGGAGTGAAAGCTGTTTTTTATGTTGTAAAGAATCGACTCATTGGAAAGATTTCAGCCTGTTGGAGGACATCAGAGTTATGGATTAATTTGAAGTGGACTATACCGCGTACACCGATACTTTTCTTAAATATCTTGAATATGAACTACTTCATTTCCAGCAAGCAGTATTACCTTGAAGATAATCATTCTCAATCAACTAAGTGGATTGATCTGGTGACAAGGGGGGGGGGGGGGGGCTATGATCCTTTCTTGTACTTGTCCAAGATATATGCATGCAAGTGGCAGTATTGTTGCATCGAATTGTAGGCGCGTATGTTTTTTTTCTGCTATGTGGTGCGCACGGATTATGTTTCATGACTTCGAAAAATTCGCGCGCGCCCGCCCAATTTTTGATTTTGTTTTGCTTGACAACGTCTTAAAGAAATATGAGAACCTTGATTTTTTTTGGTGGCGAAGTTCTCATATAGTAATATTGTGTTTCACAGAACACTCCATCTTTTGGTACCGCGAACAATTGTGTATTTCTTGCACATTGCTAGTGCGGGCTTCAGCTACAAGTTTCTTGTTAAAAATGTATGCGCTATCTTTTGCGTGCTGCGTACGGCATGATCTCGCGCCCTCCAAGCTGTTGCTGGATTGCGGTATCACGTGGGGTACGAAAAACCTACCCTCGGCAATTTCTAACGACTGAGAAATGGATCAAGAGAATCAGTTCAAATTTTCTTCACACAACAGTATTTGTGAATCGAGATAAGAATGTCATCTCAACTAAATGCTTCCCTATTCCGTCTTAAACTCTTAGACTCGTTGAGAGTAGGGGATGATGCAAAGGTAAACTCTTTAATTCATCAGCTCAAGACAGTGGATTCTACGGTGGACACCAGTGACTTAATCAAGCTTAGAGAAACAATTCTTCATTATGCGGTTCAAGTTGCGCCATTACATTCAATCCAGTCTTTACTTGAAAACAAGGACTATACGCTTGATATAAATGCACAAGATGCTGACGGGAACACCCCTCTACATTTGGCGGTATTATCTTCCAGATTTAATGTTGTCAAATACTTGATGAGTTTGCCGCAAATTAATGATACAATCTTGAACGATGAACGAAACCAACCGGTCGAGCTCGCCAAAGACGCAAACATTGCACAGTTGATGCAATATGAAAGGGCTAAATTTGTTGAGCGTTCAGCAACAATCTTACGTCGTTTATTTAGTCTGAGAGACTTTGAGAACTTGGAGAATCTTCTTGTTAACAATCCTCGGGCATCGGAATTGCTAGACATTAATGGTGCTGATCCAGAGACAGGAAACACGGTATTGCACGAATTCATTCGTAAGGAAGACCTCCAAATGTGTGAGTGGATTCTCACCCATGGGGGAGATCCATTTAAAAGAGACAAACGTGGCAAACTTCCGATTGATTTGGTTTCTAGCAGAGCTGATCCGATAAGAAAGCTTTTGAAGAACGCAAGCAAAGACCAGAACATGATGGATCCAACTAACAATTCTGGAACTGTCTCATTTCCGAAAGATACACCAACTTACAAAGGCTATTTGAGAAAATGGACAAACTTTGCCTCAGGGTACAAATTGCGCTACTTTGTTTTAGATCAATATGGAATATTGTCATATTACACGAATCAAAGTGACACCAATAATGCTTGCAGAGGCTCTTTGAATCTCGGCTTTGCGACTTTGCATTTGGATTCATCCGAAAAATTAAAATTCGAGATCATTGGAAAGAATGGAATAAAATGGCATCTTAAAGCCAATCATCCAGTGGAGACGAATCGCTGGGTTTGGACCCTTCAAAATTCTATAACTTTATCTAAGGATTTGATAAGAAGGAAAGCTAAATTCAGATCAAACAGACTCTCAATGGACAGCAATACGCAGTCTTCAGAAGAACAGACAGGACCTATTGATGAGGAAAAGAAGAAGAAGTTACTTCTGGTTCCTGGGAGACGGCGTCTGCACAAGAAATCACCAAGCCAAGTTTCTATTTCATCGTTCACAGGCTCGGAAGCTGATGAAAATACGTCTTCGGCTTCTTTAGAGGCCACCTCTGTTATCACCAAACCTCAAATTCCCCATGGAAGTCTCCCCCAGATTAATGAGAAAAGACCTTCATTAAATGAGACTCGTTTGAGTTTAGATACCGGTGAAGAAGACTTCGATTATGACCTAGATGAAAGTCTTTGCTCTGATGCAGAATCCGTTAACTTGGACAGTTTTGAGAGTAGGGCATCTAATGAGCAAGTAGCTGCCACGAAGGGAACTATACTTGTTGAAGTCGTAAGTCTCCAGCAGTTGTTTAAAGCCTTGGGTTCCAAGTCAGACAAAAAATTATTAGACGACGAGACTTATAGCGTTGGTATGCGGACTCTTAACAACATTTGTGCTTTAATGGAACTGTATCATGGATCAGTTCAAGCACGCGAAACAAGGCTCTTGAAAAAAATTGAAAGACAACAAGAAGTTAACAAATTGTGGGAAAATTCTATCAGGCAGTTGGAGAGTGAAATACAAAAACATCAACAAACTTTGGCTGAATACGAAGGCAAAAAATACAAGTTGAGAAAACTTCTTGAATCAAAGAGTATATCCAACCCTCAAGTTAATAAAGAGTCGGCTCCTGGTGTTATGAACAATAAGGATTCAAATTCCGACGCGACTGGAATGCCAGCTGAGATCAAGGAGGAGTCAAAGTTGTTGAATGAGTTCTTGTATGATTCTGATGAGGAATTTTTTGATGCAGATGATTTTGATGATGCCGCACAGGGAACACTTGTGGAGTCAATGAATGACGTCAATGACTCGCAAAATTCAAATTCAAAAAGCGACGAAGTCAAGCGAGAGCTGATTACGCAAGAAAATCCTTCAATTTTGACAAAATCACAAGATGCCAAGAGTAAACAAATTGATAACCAAGGCTCTTTTTTGGGATATGAATTGCCCCCAAGAAAAAAGCTCTCAATGGACAAAGATAACCGGCCAAAGGTTGGTTTATGGGGAATTGTCAAGTCAATGGTTGGACAAGACATGACAAAAATGTCGTTGCCGGTTTCTTTTAACGAGTGTACTTCCTTGCTCCAGAGACTAGCTGAAGATATCGAATATAATGATCTTCTTACTACAGCTGCTTCTATCGAAGACTCAACCTTGAGAATGGTGTACGTTGCTGCATTTGCAGCATCAGAGTACTCATCCACCATCAACAGAATTGCTAAACCCTTCAATCCTTTGTTGGGTGAGACCTTTGAATACTGTAGGAAGGATCAGGGCTTCCGTATGATTTCAGAACAAGTGAGTCATCATCCTCCTATTAGTGCATGCCACGCAGAGTCTTCTAAGTGGGACTATTACGGAGAAAATGCCGTGAAGTCTCAATTTCGTGGCAGGTCGTTCGATTTCCAGCATTTGGGAAAAATGTTCTGTGCTATAAGGCCTGATATGGGTGTTGTCACCAAATCTGGTGAGAAAGTCGAGGAAGAGCTATACAGCTGGAAGAAAGTGAACACGTCAGTTGTCGGGATAATCATTGGAAATCCGACTGTTGATAATTTCGGCACCATGGAGGTACAGAATCATACAACTGGAGATGTTATTCAAGTTAATATGAAGCAAAGAGGATGGAAAGCTTCTTCTGCTTACCAATTATCTGGTGTGGTCAATGACAAGGATGGCAAAGCTCGATGGACAATCGGCGGCCACTGGAATTCAAAGATTTTTGCCCGGAAGGTAACTTCTGACCTCAGTTTGAACAAAAAAGACCTGTTGGTTGACAATACAGAAGATTGCCTGGATCCTGAGAGTGGAAGTAAATTTCTTGTCTGGCAAGTGGCACCAAGACCTGATGTTCCTTTCAACCTTACTTCATTTGCCATTACACTCAATGACATAAACGATAATTTAAAGCCATGGCTACCACCTACAGATACAAGGTTGAGGCCTGATCAAAGAGCAATGGAGGATGGCAGATATGACGATGCTTCTTCCGAAAAAAACAGAGTCGAAGAAAAGCAGAGAGCTGCCCGCAAGCAGAGAGAGTTGAGTCGGAAAGGATTTAAACCTCAATGGTTTGTGAAGCTGATTCACCCAGTTACAGGCGATCATTATTGGCATTTCAACAACGAGTACTGGTTAAAGCGTAAAGAGAAACAATTGGCTGGCTGTGGTGATATTTTTTAAGTACATATAATCACTTATTTTCTTTGAACTGGTCTCATTTAATGGAAATCGGACCATTTTGACGTTAGAATGTTTTCTAATTGTACCGTCTCGCGTTGAATCCAGCAATACCGCGAGATTTTCAAGCAACGAGGATAGGCGCAGGCTACTCATCGCTCAATACGTTCGAGTCAAAACTCATTCTCCTAATTATACAATGGGTAAAAATTCCAGAGTCACCAACAGCTTTTCGGAAAATGAGTCCCATACTCCACCCATCTTGGAAATTGGCTTTAGTGATCCGCTATTTTCAGTAGCAGCGCACCCCACACGCCCAATTACAATATCGGGATTGGGAACTGGTCATGTTTTTTGCCACACATATAATCCCGAGGTTCTCGAAAATTCTCTTGCCGCCAAAAGAAGTAGCTTTTTAAAAAAAGAGAAGATTGATAAGGTGCAACTTTCACTGCTCAAGAAAAAGTGGTGGAGAACAGAGGCTGATCATGCAAACATTGTTAGTGATGAGTCGATAGGTGTCAGTTGGAAGACCAAAAGACACAAAGGGTCCTGTCGGTCAGTCATGTTTGACATTCTTGAAGGTTCAGCAGGTGAGAACGTTTTTACTGTAGGCTCAGACAGTGTATTAAAAAAAGCAAAGACTGAGACGGGTAAGGTACAATCAAAGATTGACATCTCTTCGCATTTCGAAAACAACGATGCAATTACTACGTTGGCTATGTCGACTTCTAACCCATTTTTAACTTCAGGCACAGAAAATGGCAATGTTTTAGTTTTCGATAGCAACAATTTAACTTCTGGAAAACTCAAGTTCAAGTTGGAAAATGTTCAAGAGGATGCGGTGAACAAAATTCTCCCGATGCCTGCGGTTTCTGCATATCATTTTCTTGCATTGGGATCTACAAGATTGGCTCATATTGACATAAGGAAAGGAGTTATCACTCAGTCAGATGATCAGGCAGATGAATTATTGTCAATGTGCTATCCCACCGAGTTTGTTAACGCCCACAAAAACGACACAGTAATTGTGACTCATGGGGAAGGAGTCATAACTCTTTGGAGAAACTCGACGAATGGTCTCTCTGATCAAATTTCAAGGGTTAAAATCAACAGGAATGCATCAATCGACGCCATAATATCCACAATGAATTCGGGTGATGATAATTTGATTGATTCTGTTTGGTGCGGGGATAGTGATGGATACTTGCACAGAGTAGACTATAAAAGAGGGAAAGTTATGGAGACAAGGCTTCACTCTTCACTAATGAGCAAATCTGGCGCTGTTGATGAGGTGAGTGGTCTCGATATTGATTACGATTATCGTCTTGTGAGTTCCGGCATGGAAGGTCTAAAAATTTGGTCAGGGCAAATGTTTGATAACCTTGATAATCCTGATACAGATAGCGAAAGCTATGACAGCGCAAGCTCTGAAGAGATGGACATGTCAGATTTTGACTCTGATGCATTTAGCCCTTGTTCCGATGACAATTTTGGTGAAGATGAGGCAGTATCAAAACCCAAAGCGAGTGCTTTAGGTACTTTTGATGCGCCTGAGGATCGAAAGGAAGAAGCCAGTGAGCCTGATTACCATGCTAGCCTGCGTGAAACTTTACTGATTTGTAAACGAAAGCGTGTTGATGTGATGCATACTTTGAAAAAGCCAAAGAAAGAAAGAATTGATATCAACGCTATTGCGAAAAAGAAGGAAGCCAATGAAGATAAGTCTGCTTCAAATAAGAAAGCGACTAAGTCTATGAAGAAAAGGTTAATTGCAAATGGTATTGGTAAATTCAATGATTTGTAATAGCCCTTGTCGTTATATGTCAAAACTAACAGTTTACTGAGCCCCGAATTCTATTCTAATACATGCAAAGTAAATCATCATCTAGCAATCTCTTTATCATTCGATAAAAGAGGAAGAGCAAATTCATGGGCAAATTTTACTCGCACATCCGATTTTAAAACTGCCCCGCAATTTTATCAACAGGGGGTCCACCTTATCACGTGATTATATACTTCTCCAAGCCTCAAAAGACATGACTGGGTTCATGAGAGAGAATACGGTTACAAAAATAATTCAATGGACCCTTTTCAATCATCAAGCATCGATAATGTTCTACTTATAAGAAGAGGGTGTCATATCAGAGGTTCAATCATCATATCGAGATATCACTTGGTATTTTCTTGCAAGCAAGACCAGCCTACACAAAGGCCTCGTGAAATCTGGATATGTTATCCGATGATTGAGAGGATCTCAAAAGCGAGAGGAAGTATCTCGAATCAATCTAAATTGGCATACACCGAAAACCCAGAATCAACATTATCTCTGGGAGTGGATGACTTTGACAAGTATTCCGCGTCTCACATACGATTGTTTTGCAGAGACTTCACTTACTATCTGTTTGAATTTTGTAATGATTCCCTTTGTTCCACAGTCTACCAGAAAATCAGTTACCTCGTTAATAGACCTAAACTAAGTGGATCCATCAAAGAGTTTTATGCGTTCGAATACCTGCCAAATGCGTTGGAATTAGAGGCAATTAACAGTGATTGGATATCGTATGATCCTGAGAGAGAGTACACGCGACAGAAGTTACTAGCGCAAGACAGCGTGAGCTCATTTTGGAGGTTGAGCAAAATCAATGACAAATATCGATTCTGTCCATCCTATCCCGAAATGTTTGTTGTCCCCTCTTCGATTTCGGATAGTGTTATACAGCACGCTGGAAAATTTCGTTCCAAGCAAAGAGTGCCAGCAGTTGTTTATAAACACAACAAAAGCGAGAATGGAAATGTAATCGCGAGATGTCTGCAACCTCTTGTGGGTCTCAACTTACAAAACAGATCTCTCCAGGATGAAAAATTGATTGAAGAGATATTCAGGTCACAAGCTTTAGAGAGGGAACTCTCAATTTGTAATAGCTCTGACAGTAAGGATCAACCGCAAAAAAACTTGATTGTGGATTTGAGACCCATAACAAATGCCATGGCGCAGCACGCTTTGGGAGCTGGCACTGAGATTGTGGATAACTACCGGGGTAGACTTTTTGTGGAGAAGACTACCACAAAACCTCTCACTAGCGATTTTAACGGTGCTCAGAATGTGGAAAAAATATTCTGCAATATTGACAATATTCACGTAATGCGTGATTCTTTAGACAAACTCACTCAAATTCTTAGTGACCTTGACAAAAAGCCTATTTCTGGTATTGATGATAGAAGTCCCGCGAGCCCTTCATTACAGCAGTCTTTAACAAAAACACAATGGCTTCATCATCTATTCCTTATTCTTCAGGCAGTTGACCGAATTATAAAGTCTGTGCATTTGAATAACACGAATGTTTTGATACACTGTTCCGATGGTTGGGACCGAACCTCTCAAGCTTCAGCATTGGCTCAACTTTGCCTCGATCCATATTTCAGAACGTATGAAGGATTCATGGTGCTTATTGAAAAGGAATGGCTCAGTTTTGGATTTAAATTCGCCACAAGAAGTGATCAAGGAGGATGCATCGGCTCTCGCTTGCCTAAATCCACCAAAGATTTCAAAGGACCTAAACCACCGGCATCATCTTCACAAAATGGAGACAAGAGCGAAAATACACCCACCCTAGAGGGCTTGAGCGCCATAAATGACACTGATGGCTATGTATCGTTGGATACACCCGCGACGAAGTTCATTTCATCTATATTCCAACGAGCAGCAAGTCACATAAAAAGTTCTGCATCTGGAACAAATACGGGAATGGGAACAGAGAACAGAGTCAAGAAGTGCCTGTCGATATATGGCGGCAGCAATGAGCGGTCTCCAGTTTTTCATCAGTTTCTTGACTGTGTGTATCAGATCTTTCGACAACAACCTTCGATGTTCGAATTCAACAGCAGGTTTTTGAAAAGACTTTTGTACCATTCTTACTCTTGTCAATATGGCACATTTTTGTGTGATTCAGAGAAAGATAAAAAAAATAATGAAGATTTGGACGCTCAAACCACTTCAGTATGGGCATATTTCTTGTCTCGTCGTAAAGAATTCACAAATCATCTTTACATCAAGTCGAAGAATACAGACGTTATTTTCTTCAATTTTTCTGAAGTTAAGTGGTGGTGTGAACTATATGGTCGATCAGAAGAAGAAATGAACGGCTTGTCAAATTCGCTCGAGAAAAAGTTTGCTGAGCTAAAAATGAAGAAAAATGGAGGCGAGAACTCTCCCGAATACACCTCAGAAGAAACAAATACGAGGTCCGCTTCTCTCGGTCATCCATAATAGGGTTAGATCAAAATATTTTTGAAATATTTCAATGAAAAGTTAAAAGAAATTGCCGAACATTATATGTTTGTGCATCAATTCATCAACACAAAAGGTTTCCTGTTGACAACAGAACATATGCAAAAAAAAAAAAACATATGAACAAAATAAAGGAGGAGTCTCAAGACCATATATTTGGTTCAGAAAGATCCACTTTGGGTAATAGATATGTATATGGTTTTATGGTTTTCATGATGCGTTTTGTTTCGAATTTCAACATGTAAGATTTGCACCCACACTGATATACGTAAAAACTCACATGTCGCTTTACACACTGATAAGATACAAGTTTTAAATGAAGGCAAATTTTGATAGAAAATCAGCCACCTACCTCCAAGGTACCCAGTATCAACTTAACACTGATGGTCCCCGCAAGTGCATATTCATCTATGTGCACGTCTATTTCGGGCTCCGTCAGATATCGTGTCGAACCTTCATAAAATGTTCCTATATCAAAGGCTTTTTTTTCGTGTATATAAGACAGATATAATTTCATGTTTTCTTAAGAAGGTAATAGATATTAATGACACGTATATATCTCACGTAGTCTCTTAGATGTCCGGCTGAAATTTCGTCTTAGTGAGAATTCCCGTGATTATTTTGGCGAGCTCAAAGTTAAGCACTCAGGGTTTGATACTTTTTCAGCGTATATGAGCATCAACTATCGTCGATACTTGACGAAATATCATCCCTTTTGTATGTGCAAAATGCATGTTTTGTTATCTCCGAGGATCTTCGAGACAAGCCGCGCCGCAATTGTTAAACGTGTATAATGCATGCACTACTCTTGGTGGCAACTTTTCAGGTACAACTCGCTCTTTTAGGACGCTATCTCAGAATGAGAAGCCCTTTCAAAAAAGTTATATATTGCCGCATCAGGCTGTATTCGAACACTACAAAAGGTATACAAGGTTTTGAGGGCAGAACTCCCACCACGTTATTCACATGCGATCAAGAAGAGAGAGAGGCCTTGACCACAACGGATCCATTCTTGGTCTACAAAAGCTATATAAGTCTGGGAAAGTTGATAAAAGATGAATACCAGCTACGTGTCATGAAGGAGTTTCAAAAACTTTACAACAGGTTGATTGATTATAAACCTCATAGCGCAATGCCCGTGAAACAAGCGCTTTTGTTGAGAAAGTTAGAGATTGCGCAAGCAAAAGAGAAGTTAGAAATCGAATCCTTGACGCATGCGCCAATTCACAAATTCAAAAAATGGTTTCAAAAGGATGCGGATGTTCAAAAGATGGAAATTGTAAAACACATGACAGACGAGGAGGAACTCCATGGTATGTATTCCCCTCAAGGACTCTTAGTACATGGTGAAGTCGGCTGTGGGAAATCAATGTTGATGGACATTTTTGCTTCCAGCTTGCCACACGATTCAAAAATGAGATGGCATTACAACAGTTTCATCTTGTGGGTATTTGGCGAAATCCACAAAATCCAGAAAGAACGAATGCTTACTGAGTCAGTGAGTCTGAAAAGAAAGTTTACAATGGAAAATGAGTTTATTCTATTTGAAATTGCTCAAAAGATGATTGATAAAAGCACCATCTTCATGCTAGATGAGTTCATGCTACCCGACATTGCGGCAGCACAAATAATACGGATATTATTTGTACATTATTTCAAACTAGGTGGGGTTTTAATTGCAACGTCAAACAAACTACCCGAAGAACTTTATTCCTCGGAATTTAATAAGTCGAAATTCAATTCATTTGTTGGACTTCTTCATAATCGCTGTGTTTCGGTTGATATGCGCTCCAGCATGGATTACAGAAAACATTTTGCTCAAATGTCTCCCGGTGAAAAGAATTTAATAGTGAAAAAAAATAATCCGATACACCAAGTACAATGGAATGACCTTCTCCGACGCAAGGCTGTGGGCTCAAGTGTCTCTGTTGATAATCTAAATTCTGACGTGAAAGAACTTAATTGGGAAGCAGCCGAAATTTGTGTTTACAACAGAAAATCCGTTATTCCAAAGACACTTAATGGTTCTTTATGCTGGGTTGATTTTAATTACATTTGTGGAGGTTCTTTTAGCTCTTCGGACTACATAACCCTTGCATCAAAGTTCAAAATATTTATTGTTGACGATGTTCCGGTCATGAACACAAAAAAAAAGAACGAGGCAAGAAGATTCATCACATTAGTAGATGCATTATATGAAGCAAGGTGTCAGTTGTTTTTAAGATGCTCGGTGTCGCCAGAAGAGATTTTTTTCCCCTCTGAGTCAATGGATCAAACTGATAATGAAACTGTGCAACAAGAAGAAATGTATGCGAAAACGTCAATGCAAACCCTCAATCCGTATAGACCTAATGTGTCATCGTATGACCAGGCTTACGCGAAAGTTTACGAGCATGAGGGTAAAGATACAAATGAAAATTTCGGAAACTTGAAGGCCTTCACTGGCGAAGATGAGAAATTTGCCTATAAGAGAGCAGTCTCACGTATCCATGAAATGGTGGCTTCTGATCATTGGCGAAGCTCTGACAGGTGGTTGCCCATCGATCAATCAATGAGGCCTTGGGAGAGATCTAATGGGCTACACCCCGTTACTAAACGGGGGAACTTTGATCCTGATGTTGAATTTTTGGTTCTGCCAAGAGACCTCAAAGATATAAAGGAGACTTTGAAGGTATCCATGCCACGTGATGTGAGCGCCAAGTTGAGCATCCCTTTCAGGCAATTCAATGAGAAAATCTCCCCTGAATTTTTTAATATGCTGCATTTTTGGGGTTTAGGAGAGTGGACAATTGACCAGCAAAAAAAAATCAAGGACAAAATAGCCCATTCTTGGGTTAGCGGTGGAATTCGCAGAAAATGATGTCGATAGGTCCTTGATGGCTCTCCCTTATCCCCGCTAAGTTTCGTGTAAGAGTTCACCCCGCGTTTCGATACCTAAAACATGTTACGCGGGGATTTGAAGAAGTATGCCTATTGCTCATCCCTAACTCTTTTTTCAAATTGGTAGTAATGCTTTTGATATAGTGTAGATGGTAAACATTGTTTTACATTTTACCAACACTTTTTGGAAACTTAGTTTCCTCAATAGCACAAAGGCTAACCTCGGCAGCATCCGCACATCAAAATATGCGTATGCAAGCCTCAAGCTTCTAGCCGGAGTACCCTCCGCGAGAACCATTAATCCTCCTTACACAACCAATCCTCTCCACACACGCGGAATCCTAAGAGCAAGAGACTCTTAAATTCTGTCGTATTTGGCAAAAACATAAGCTAGATAGCCATAAAATCCATAGCAATGACAATCTTGACTGCAGAGCGTCTCGTGAAATTAGCCTACAAATACCCAGGTCTCTATACTAATTGGTATATCTTCGCTTCCACGGCACTCACAGTCGTCAATCAGCCACAAGAAATTGGGAAGGTGTTTCATTTTGCTTTGAGACAGCAGCTTCTTGCAGAGTCTTCGTCGACGGAGAAATCTCTTCTAACCGATTATTATTTGTTGAAACTAGCAGAGGATTCAATTGCGTCCGCTGCAAAGTACCAGGAGTTTTCCGACATTGGGACTAATCTCCCTGATATTTTGGTACCATACACTTATTATGACAAACTCCCGCTCCCATATAAGTTCATAGAAGGAGGTGATATACGCGCTGCTCAGAATGATATAGCCAGCAAGATTAGAGAAGCTATTTTGAAAATCGCCCCTATTTCAGGTCTTCCCAAATCCATCAATGCTCTTACAGCCCTCAAGAATGTCACTCCCAATAGTTTAAAGCCAGAACCAAGATCTCAAAGACCTCAAATAGTATATCCTGGCCACGTTAGCTCATCTGCCCTCATTCAGGAGGATGTGGCTGGTACGAGATTTGAGGGCGATACGTCTTCTACTTTTGATACTATAGAGGGACCAATTTCCTTGAGTTCAACCAATTGCAGAGCTGTGTTGGAAAATACAGTCAGAGGCTCTGAGTTCTGGAGTGCAATTTACGGAAAGATTAAGCAAAGAGTTCGAAATCAGCTATACGATGCTTATCCAGATTTGTGGCAGTATGCATATCATCATGTTTATTCCCCGATATTGAGTTACACAAAAGTTTTAAATCCAAAGGAGACATCTCTCTGTGTGATTTGTGCATTAATACCTCAAGACGTCAACCCTACTTTGAAAGGACATCTTAAAGGTGCTTTGAACGTTGGTGCACCAAAACTGGAGATAGAAGAAATCCGTCTCATGACGTTTGACATCTGCGATTGGAGTGGAAATATTGCGTGGAAGGGGGGAAAGGAAAGCGTAGCTAAATTGTAAATTAGTTTGACTCGGTGTTATGCCCCTCTTACTTCTGACTCTTCACCGAAAATACCTTACACCATTTAAATTTTTATAGCTTTGCATTGAGTATGTAATTGTCAACAAGGCTGGAAAACGGAACAACCAATCGTAACTTGTAAGAACTGAACAAGAGATAGAAATAAATTATATAATTCAGAAAAGATGATTTGCTTACAACTGAATTCTATTCTGCTTCTGAATCAAGCATACCTGCGACCCACAAAAGGCGAAAAGTGCCAAGTATACAAACACAGCGCCAAAGACAGTTTTAGCAACAGCCTCTCCATCCTCTGGGTCGTTGATGGACCCCATCATAGATTCATGGCCAATTTTGAAAAGATATCCAATCACAGATAAAATTACTATTGCAAAAGCGGATAATATGGTACAGAAGTATGCTTTGCCGGTAGATACAACAGGTTTCATAGTGCTAGAGTTTTGAACTAAGGGAGGACTGCGTTTCAAAAGTTGAACAGATCAAGCTCAAATTTCATACAGGACGATGTAAGGATTTTTGGCTGAATTTATCGCGACATCTATGATAATGTCTGAGGGCGAAAACGAGTGCGAAAGGTAAAATGTATGGTGTCTACATATATGATTTCAGTATAAAAAATTGAATATGAGCCGGGTTTTGTTTTTACCCTTATACATTGTGCAAATGATCAACTTGCTTGTTTTTCTTGTACAAAACAGCCTGCTGCCTCACGTAGCCCACAGTTGCTAAACCAGCAATAAAAGTGAGGGTAACCAAAATAATGTTGATGGGTGTTGGATTCATAGCAAAAGTAGTGTGTGTGAGTTTGTCCAACACCGATTGAAGGTAGTTGAATACACCAGCAATGCAAATAATGGAGCCATAAACAGTCCCAAAAGTATCGAAACCAAATACTTTAGCACTGTAATCAGAGACGGTTGTGTAAAAGAATGGTCTGTAGACAACAAAGAGAGAGACATTCAACACACCAGCTGAAAAGCTAGGAAAGAGGCCAAGGATTCCAATTGATAATGAGACCCCAAGTAGTGTTGCCAAGACTACCACGGTTGAGCAGTAATCAAGAAATATTCCGATAAACGGTATCGCAACTATGCCACCGAGTGGCAATGCGATGTCAAAGAACCTATTCAAATTGGCACTTTGTGAAATTGAGTCCAATAAATATGAGTATTGTGATCCCACAGTGGCCACAAAATAATTTAATCTTAACATCTGAATCGTGGTGAACAAACACATAAGAAAAAACCATGGTGTTTTGAGTTGATATGCTGCAGAGAAACCATGCAAAACTCCAAATATACCACCTGAATGCTCGATCAAAAATTCTTCCCCCTCTAATGCATAAGGTTGTTTTAATGCATCACCAATTGAATCTCTTCTTGAGTGCTTAGTCAGACTATTTAGTGACTCGCCAATCAAAGCATCTGTTTCTGTTGCTGCTGCTATAGAAGTTGTTGATCGTTCACCAAAATCGTCTTGGCACAACACTGTACCTGGTTCAGTCTTGTACGACTCGTTGGGCATAATGAGAATCTGCATAACTGCAATGAATGTGGGAACAAATAAATAACACTTGAAAAATTTATCCAAGGTGAACGACTCACTTGTAGCATTGTAAACAATGCGATAGAGGAGAAATATTGCAGAAGAGGCATCAAATGCACCTGTAATGAGAGCCAAAATTGTCCCACTTTTCGAGGGAAAAGAATTTGAAAGTTGGAATGATGAAATAAAAGCAAAAGGACCCCCTAATGCCATAGAAGCATATCCGATTAAATACGGGTCGAAAAGTGATAACCTGGACTTTATAATATCGCTGAACATAAAGATGAAGCATGCCACATATAGGAAAGAAGCACCAGCGAGACCACAGAATTTAGGCCCGAAGTTATCAAGGCAAGTACCAATGAGTAAAGCGGAAACGTTGGTCAACATGGCGGCAACGGTAAACATCATGTTGAGTTTCAAATCTTGAGCAGTGCATTTCGCTTCACTTAGGTCCTCAGAAATCCCAAATGCGGAGCTAATCACGGAAATACTCACTGACCCGAACATGGAAGGGTCTAAAACTAACTTCTCCCATGCACTCGTGGACGAATTAGTTGAGTATTCACAAACATTTTCATAGATTTTTTCTTTGATTAGGATGGGTTTTAAGGCAGCAAATCCGAAAATAGGACCACCGGATAACAAACACCAAAAAATTGCACTGGTACATTGTAAGAGTCGCCGATTCACAGGTACTTCATTTGATAGCATTGTTTCAATTTCCTCAGACCACACAAGATTCAGAACTCAGTTTTTTTAGGCAGACTCGCTTGAATATCAGGGAAGAGTCAATTTAACTGACCTTGAGGTAGGATTTCTCGCTCTATTTATTGGCTGATGTCCAAACTTTGATTTTACTTGTCTCCTCATAGCTTTTTTTCTCCGATGATAGTAAAAGATAAGCGGTCTAGATATCTTTATCTGCAGTATTCCAAATACTAATCTCCGGACACGGGGAATCGGCGAGCAGCTATGAACGTAACAAACAATACGGAAGATAGCTTATAAGTCCTCAACGTGTGCAAGCTGAAATCGGAATTCAAAATAAAAAAAGATAAGAATACATTTTTCCATATACATGATGATTTAAAACCTGGACCATGTGTCTTAATTATTAATTCCCTCTGGTGTATTCTCTGTACTGAGGCGAGTCAACTTCAAGTACACTTCCCGTGCGATATTATGTATAATTTATACTCCCACGCGCGTGGGGGTTCTATGCTTGCTTCTTCGTCGGAGTTTCGAGATATCGATGATACACATTCTATACCATTGACTTGCTCGATTATTATGTCAAACGCTTTCTTTTCTTATTCTTTGGAAGAAATTGATCATTACGAGAGTGACAAAATCGCTTTGCCACATTTCGATTCGTCAATTGCTTGGCAAATTGGGTTGTATGCACATAAACTAGCACAAGGGTACGATAAGCCTATGCTCATCGATATATCCCTTTCCAATGGCCAAGTATTGTTCCACGCACCATCAAAAAACGGAATTGTGCTCGACAACGAACATTGGGTAACGAGAAAGAAAAATACAGCATTTCGTTTCGGTAAATCATCATTTTACATGGGACGCAAGATGGCAATGAAGCAGATGAGCGCCGAGAAAGCGTTATTCGTCGACTCCAAAGAATATGCTTTTCATGGTGGATCTGTTCCAATAAAAATTTCAGGAACTGATCAGATTTGTGGAGCACTCACTGTGAGCGGGTTGGCGCAAATTGATGATCATCTCTTTGTTTTACAAGTTTTAAAGGACACAAGACATTCTTTAATTAAGTGATACCCAATAAAATGAACAAAGCGACGTTTCTTCTTAGGCAGTCTCAATACCTTTTTGATATCACTTCTTTTCCCATGTTTGACTTCAAATATTAAGAACACTTAAGTATTCATTTCGGGGCACTCAAACAAGTTTACTGTTCTCTTTAAGACAGTGTAAATTCTGCACCAGTACTCAAACTTAGACTACAAAGGTGGTGGTCGCGGCTATGTTTCTCATTTCAATACATTTCCACAATAATTTTCTTTTTTTTTATTTTCTAGCCTAGTCTCCAAAAATTGAGGAAATTAGCCATTCATTATTTCTTATTTCCTTGGGAAGCTGCTCATTTTTTTCTCAAAGCTCCTGGTTCTTTGCTCAATAATTGCCAAATCACATCTGAAATGTTTTCTGAACCATGCTAGCACTTCACCGCTTGATAGTTTTTTAATGCCAGACGATGTGTCTTCAAATGGAGAAATAAGTAAACAGGCCCAATGTTGTCTAATTGCACCCGGAATGTTTCGTACAGTCAGGAGACAGTAGTAGTTGTTAATACGCAGTAATAAAGTTCATAGAGTTCAACTGTTTGATGGATGACGGTCTGTAATGATTCTTTTGTCTCTACATGCATAGTTTAAGGACGAAAAAATCATTACACGTTTGGAATGTTTCCCAACCCCTTTTTGGTTATTTTCTTTAGTAAATTGTTTTCATCGTTAACCTGCTGCAGAACATCAGAAGAATACCTTGCAATGTGTTTATGTGTCTCAGAATTTGATCCCTTTTTCAGATTCTATTTTGTGCTCGGCAAACAGATTTATACACTGGGTCTGAAGAGTATCACGGGATACTTTTACCAGATCAAACATACAAAAACAACAAAGCAACTTTTCAAAAAAAGGTCGTACCCGGATTCGAACCGGGGTTGTTCGGATCAAAACCGAAAGTGATAACCACTACACTATACAACCTTTCATGTTGGGAAACAGGCACATGCAAAATATATCCCTCGTGTGCTTTGAACGCTCAAATGTTCACTAGTGTTGAACCTCAGAAAAAAATTATACCCCTAATTAAACTTATGGTACAACTTATAGGCATCAGGTCCGTAAAACAAACTCATGACCATAGTTTTGCCCCTTTAATCAGATGAATCTACCAAAAAAAAACAATAATGAGTATGAGATTGTGCACTTTTGGTGTCAGAAGTTCGGTTTTCAGACTTCAATGCACTTAGGGGAGATGCTAGCTCCTCTGGGTACTTTCTTCGACAATCTAAAAATCCTCAATTGGTTTGATAAAGGCGTTCGCAGGGTTTATTTGCTTAGGGACGCCAAGACAAATGTACCTTTTGCCGCGTTGTCAAATGATCTATGGTCACAGGCCCCCGAAAAAGTGTATCCTATGGGATGATGACATATAGTTAATTTATTCAAGTGGTTGACATTGGTTCTGGACAGACGTCTCTTTGAGGGGATTCACATTCTCTTCGGGAGAATACGTGAACTGGGGCTGGTACCTTTTCACCTGAGCCAATGTTGCGATCTATTATAGGTTTTTTCTTTATAGTTTTCGTTAGTGGTGGGCTGTACATCCCTCCAGTGACACCCTATGATACGATGTTTCATTAAAAACATTTAAAATAAACTCATTCAAAAAAAAAAAATTCGAGCAATGGAGTTTGCGTATCAAAACCAGCCTTCGAAGTTAGCACCAAAGAAAATAAAGTACGGAACTACCCCGGGTGGAAACTTGTGGAAGGCACAGGACGCTGCGTTGAGGCAACTAGAGGAGGATGCAAAGAAACAGCGGGAGCTCGAGTCCAAGAAAGAGAAAGAGGGGAGCAGAAAAAGGGGCTTCAGCACCACCAGATGTCAAAGAACAAGAACCCTGAGCTTATGAAGGCGCAGGAACGGTTAGAAACGTTACTTCACTTCCAGGAAACCGGCGCTGAGAGGTCCAAGATCATTGATGATGCTTCTGATTTCGAGATTCCAGGTGGATGAATCTACGAGAAAGAAAATCATCCAGGGCGTGATTGACAGGAGGTGACGGCCCCAGTTTCGACACTATGTGCGTATCTGGAAGCCTTCTGGAGTACATGTCCAATATTTTCACTTTCCTTTTCCTCTTATAGCTGTTTTCACCCAATAAATTCAGTGAGTGGGTAATATCTCGTCTCATTCAGAAGTTCCGATCGAATAACTGTCTAACTTGATGGACAACTCAAAGGGAATTCAGGTGGGAATAACCGGTGCACCAAATTGCTTCAATACATCTTACAGTTTCCAAAACTAAATGACAGTCATAGATTATCAGATCATGTAGGTTCTATTTCTTTTCTTAGCTGGGTTGAATGTTGGTAGAGAAATATGTTATAGGGCACATAGTACACGTGCAAATTCACAAACTCATGAGAGGACTGACCGATATATGCCATTAACTCATGACGTGGTTCAATGCAAATAGAAACCTTCGACTTAATACGCCTTTATTGTGTACTGAGCGTTGAAATTTACCATCATAAATATTGACATCTTTGCTACATGAACATATACTCAGCTGCGAACGAAGAGTTTCGAGATCGCTAAATTCTGCAGACAAAACCCCATATTCTTCGCGCAGGGTAACATCGAGCGCTGGTGTCGGAGTCTCAAACATTAAGATGAAAATGCTAAAGAGGACTATCTCCGCCGTAGAGGCAAGTTGTTCCTCTGATCTTGTCAATAAACGAAGTGCCACAGAACTACCCGAGATCCATGAACAGGAAATTGTTGCAGATATCATTCGAATGATTTTGGGAAAAGTCTCCCGCAACTTGCGAATACGAAATGAGCATATTCACTCCATACTTCAAACACTGTATAGCAAAGGAAATCTCAAATACTGGATTTCAGCTGTCAAAAAAGAATTGGAATTCACTTATGGTCTATCATTGGAGCAGTGTGGCAGTGACATAACAGTTTTCTCAAATCTCAAAGCACATTCCAGGGAAATTTTCTATTCTTTATGTGAAGCGAATTCGCCTCTGGTCGATTATCAAGCTAATCTTCTGAGCTCAATATTCTTGATTCATAAGTCTAAAAAAGATTTGATGTCCATCAACACATCAGACAAAGTCATGGGCGGGATCACTATGTTGATCATATCAATAATAGTTTTGAGTGAAAACAGAATAAATGAAAACGATCTCGTCAACAGTTTATCTGCTTTTGGAATATCTAGTAATCTCAGCATACCAGTTCCTCTTCTAAACAAACCAATTCAAAATATTTTAGGAGATATTGCCAAAAGAGATTATATAAAGAAGACGTCGCCAGCTGGAGCTGATCAGTCGGGATCTTATATTGAGTATTCGTTGGGAGAGCGGTGCAAGCGAGAATTTGATTCCCAGTGTATTTATAATTTTTTTCTTCAAATCTACAAAGAAAAAGATCTTCAAGATAAGATTTGTGAGTCTATGAAGCGTTGCTTTCCCGAGTTTGAACCCAATTTAAATGAAGAAGCCACGTTGAATGACATGGATCTGCATATACCAACATAGCATATCAAAAAATGAAAAGCCACTGAACAAACAACTGTAGTTGAACCGATATTGAGGCATGTTAAAATGTGGTCTTCAATTTGGTGACTTTGTCCTCCTTATTTTGTGGTTCATAACTATGATAAGAAAGACCATCCTTCCCAAAAAATGATATGCACACATAAACTTTTCCCAAAATGGAAATTCTGTTCGCGTTATATTCCGCTATATTCGTATAACGGTAACAAACGCTTACAAACGTTTCAATAATTCTGATGACTTTATTTGCATTGTTAATATATGTACTTTTATGATTACTCTGTGTCCTCTTTCTTTGAACCTCATGGGAATACAAAGGTGTAAAAATTCAAATTCCCCTCGGGTTTTATGTCTTCAGGCTTTTCACATTTTACTGATATCGCAAAGGTATAATAAAAATTCCGCCGTTGCGCGTTCGCTTTCTTCGTATAAAGCACAAGCTTACTCCCACATCGAAGAATATTTCACAGCACATCTCACATGTTAGACAAACTAGACTTAATTGTGATCACAGCTCTCGCCTTGGCAGTTGCTTACTATTATAGCAAGGACTTCATCTTTGGTTCTGATGGCTCAAGCAACGCCGGTTTTGTAGCTGATGGCGGCGAAGAAGAGAGAGACCTCCTTGTCAAACTAGAGCAAAACAAGAAAAACAGTGTAGTATTTTATGGATCTCAAACTGGTACAGCCGAAGATTATGCTCATAAGTTGGCCAGAGAACTACACTCCAAGTTTGGTCTAAATGTGCTAATCGCCGACTTGGCTGATTATGATTTTGATAACTTGAAAGACTTGGACCTGAATTGTTTGATGTTTTTTATGGTAGCAACTTACGGTGAGGGAGAACCCACTGACAATGCTGTGGAGTTTTTTAACTGGCTTGACAATGAGGCTGACCAGGTAACGAATCTCAAATTTACAGTGTTTGGGTTGGGAAATTCCACTTATGAGTTTTACAATGCCATGGGTGCGAAGTTGAACGATAAGCTTGAGCTTCTTGGCGCTGAAAGGTTTGCACCTTATGGCCAGGGTGATGATGGCTTGGGTACAATGGATGAGGATTTCTTGTCTTGGAAAGAAGAATGCTTCGATTCTTTGAAGAGCAACGTGAATCTAGAAGAGCACGAGCTGGAGTATGAGCCCTCTTTCCAGTTGATCGACCAACCATCCCTTACATCCTCAGATGAATCTGTATCAAACGGTGAGCCAAACCTGACATATGTCAGTTGTACAAGCCCAATTACGAGGGGCCCATTTGATCACTTACACCCCTACATTGCACGCGTATCCCAATCAAAAGAGATGTTTGATTCCCCAAGTCGCTCGTGCGTTCATGCTGAGTTCGATTTATCCCCTTCAAATTTAAAGTACTCTACTGGTGATCACCTTGCAATTTGGCCTTCAAATTCGAATGAGAATGTCGGCAAATTCATTCATTGTTTTGGATTGGAAGAAAAGAGGGGTCTTGTTTTTAAATTAAAAACACTCGATTCAACGGTTCAACTCCCTTTTCCCACTCCAATTACTTACGAAGCTGTAATTAGGCATCACTTAGAAATCTCAGGTCCGATCTCCAGACAAGCATTGAAGTCAATAGCTCCTTTTGCACCAAATGAAGCAGCAAAGACTACATCCATGCGTTTGGGATCAGACAAATTAGAATTCGCTGAAAACATTCATGACAAAAAGTTGAATTTAGCTGACGCTCTCTTGCATATTTCGGAAGGGGAGCCTTGGAAATCTGTGCCATTTGTCTTCTTGATTGAGCTAATTGCAAGCTTGCAGCCACGCTATTACTCAATCTCATCGTCATCTTTGAGCGAAAAATCAGTTATTCACGTCACCGCGGTAGTTGAAGCAGAAATTAGAGGCGAACATAAAGTCACAGGCGTTGCAACGAACTTATTAAAAGATATCGAAGTATCTCAAAACGGGAGTCCTGACGTACGATTTGCAACTTATGATTTAGATGGACCAAAAGGAAAATTCAAGGAATTTAGGTTGCCTGTGCATGTTCGAAGGTCAACTTTCAAGTTGCCATCCAACCCATCAACTCCCATCATTCTTGTTGGACCAGGAACTGGAGTTGCTCCTATGAGAGCATTTATTAGAGAAAGAGTTGCGCTTCTCAAAAACTCAGACACTATCAAGCTCGGTAAATCAATTTTGTTCTACGGATGCAGAAGAAAGGATGAAGATTTCCTCTATCGTGAGGAATGGCCTGAGTATGCGCGGGTTTTAGGTGACTCTTTCGAGATGGATGTTGCATTTTCTCGTGAAAGTTCCCAAAAGGTTTACGTCCAAGACAAGATTTTGTCCAGAGCTAAAGAAGTGAACCTGCTTCTCGAGAGTGGGGCATTCATCTATGTATGTGGAGACGCCTCTAAAATGGCAAGAGATGTGCAAACTACCATTGTAAAGATCATCTCAGACGAAAGATCCATTTCGCCAGAAAAGGCGGGTGACTTGGTGAGGTCGTTGAAAGTCCAGAACAGATATCAAGAAGATGTTTGGTAGCAGATATATAGTTTAATCAAGGGCATTGAGCATGACCTCTAATCTAGGTATTCATCTGCGTTGCATATACTCCATTGTTTATTGCAAGCGTTATAGTAATCTTCAAGAAGCAAATCAGTGGCCTTCCAATATTCGTATTTTTCTCTCAGTTTGAGATCGAGATCATAAACATGTGCTGTCACAGTGTACCCCAGAGTTTCTGTTTCTATAATATCAACATCGAGAGCAATACCGTTTTTCTCCTCTGGAATAAATTTTGTGAATATTAAAAAAACTCCAACATCTCTCAAAGTCATTGCAAACAAAAGATCATCAGAGATATCGTCTTTGCATTTCACATTGCAAATTATATCATTGGTATCTTTGATTTCTTGTAGGACCTTGATCGTTTGAAACACATTGTCCAGTCTCGCTAGATATGCTCCAAGCAATCCTCGAAGTTCATTGCTAGCAATATCGACAATTTTTGAGTTTTTTGGAACCTTTGATAAGAAGTCATTAATCCCTTTTCCAATTGAATTTACTTTAAGAAAATCAAGCGGGCAGAAATGTCTCTCAAGATTTCTATATTGGTTGAGCGAGCAATTTCGGCAGTAATTAGTTTTACAATCATAGAGCCATTTCGGCTTCAATTCCAATATAATTGACTTGAGCTCACATGGGGGCGATTCTTGTAAATGTAGCTTGCAATTCTTTGATAATTCAAATGTGTCAAATTCTCCGTATAGAATATTATCCATGAGGAACGCAAAGTGTTCAGAAGCCATCAACTCAAAGCCCTGGGTTTCAAGCTCTGATATGAATCTTGGGGTCACTTTCACCAACTCTGTCTCTAGAATGTACTTTTGCAATTTTTGTTCACATTTGACACTTAGAAAGTTGTAAAGTTCCAGAGTGGGGACGTATTGTTCTAATGATTTCTTGATTCTCATGCGCAAAACCTTCCGCTTCAATTGCTTCTTGAGACCATTGTATTGGTAAACTGCATTTGCGTTACCTCTGGCAACAAATCTCCATTCACTTGGATTCGAAATTTGGGTTATATCCATTCTGCTTGAATTAACATTTCATTGTTGTTCGCTGAACACAACATAGCGCGGTTGAACTATCTACAGTCTGTATCCAAAATATGTTATTTACTGTCTCTACGATACATTATTTTGAATTACCACCATACCTGGCCCTTTCACTAGACAGAACTGATCTTTAACCAGAAAGATTTTTTCTCTTTTCTTGTCCACCCAATCAAAGGCATGATTTATTCCTAACGTTTCTGTTTGCTTTGAAATTCTTTCGATCTTCTGTGTCGCAAACAGATTAACTTGAATCATGCTCCAGATGCGATGCCAAATTCTTGACCTACCCCGAGACTCTACGAGCGGCCTTGAAGTTATGCGCACAATATTTGCTGATGTTCCAACAAATGAACTATAGTTAATCAGAATTTCCTGACCATCCTTCAACTCCACTTGATATAGTGGGCCCGATCCGCGGGCGATAAAAAAGCCATTGCCTCGCAAATTGAAATCAGCTTTCGTCTCATCTATTTGCAAGTCATAACCAGTCCAAGCCGCCAAGTAGTATGAGCTTTTCAAGTTCCAAATATCTCCTTTTTTAACCTTCAAAAGAGCGAAATTGGAAGCCTCTGATAGGTCAAAAGAGTAGAACAAGGTGTTCGAGCAACTCAGTTTGATTTCTTGATACCACATCTTGCCATGTAGAGCTTTCAAATTGCGAGTGAACCCCTCGTAATCCTCAATCAAGTAGATCATTGAGTCAAGACGAGTGTTCATTCTTGATCTTTGAGGTAATTGTAAGCGTTGACCCTTATCGTGAGTGCTAAAAGGCTCAATACGTGGCAATTCAATGAAGGGGCCACTTCCTGTGACTGCCGGAAATGAATTTATAGAAGGTTTGGTGCCGAAACCTCTGGCTAGCTTACTGTAAACATATTGATATGTGGTACCACGCACACCGACCTGTAAATGCATTTTTTTATTCGTAGCAAGATATGGAAATGCAGACCTTGTTGAAAATCTCAGATAGCGCGCAGAAAGGCCCGGCGAGACTTCCAATGAACACTGCAAATTACGCTGGGATAGATAGTCCTTCTTTCAGATTTTTTCTGGAAAACACAATGCATTGTTGCTACTTATTTAGACTGATTAGAAATACTTCGATGTCTTCTCCATGATTCTGATCTCTGCTTTTTTTCCATGACAAGACTATTTCACGTTTGCAAAGTGAAACTTCTGTACAATTTTATCTGCGCCCTCAATGAATTTGAAGTCAGATTCAGATATCAACGATGAATCAATGTCTTTAGCAATCTTCGTAATGTCTTTAAAAAGATTCCAAAATCGAATTCCTCTAGTGAAATCTGATTTGAACTGCTCAGGAGACACGCTATTCATGCTGCTTAGATTGACGTTATGAGACGTTTTACCAATCTGAAACACGAAGTCCATAAGATAATTCTGGCTAGCTTCAATGCAAACATCGACTGAATCTCCCATTTTTGATAGTTTGAGACAATTCCCAAAATATATTTGGCTGACCACGCCCAAAAGTGTGTTGCTCAAATCACTGTAGAACGGCATATCGCGTATAATATCACACCAATTCTGCCTTGCTAAATTGTGAGATTTAAATTCTTCATCCTTCACAACAAGATCAAGGAAACAAACAAGCAATGAATCTTTCGCCATCTCTTGAAAAACTTTGATGTTGCTTCTGAATGATAATAAGCTATGAGAGATGGGTCCTTGATAGTTGATTGGGTGAATGTTAAACTTTTGAGTTGAAAAAATAGTAGAAATCATACAGATTTGCCTCATTTCTTCAGAGCTTAGCTTCGTGTTGAGGTGGTTGTTTTTGAAGTGCTTAAGTGAATTCTCGAAATTCTCATCTGGAGAAATACGACCTAAACCTTCAGAATCGAAGTAGAGCAAGAGCAAAAACAAATTTTCAAGGAGACTATCTTCCACGCTGGGATGAGCCTCACAAAATTTTTCCATTGTACGAGCGATGCCACTTGAGTTACCGTTTTCATCCAAAACTTGCATCAAGAATAAAGCTCGGCGGAAAGATGTTGAGAGTATGTCTCTTGCGTCTGAAGTTCTAGCGCATGAAATTTCTGCTGGTTGTTGTCGAAAATTCGACCATACAGAAGGATTGTTTCCCTTAGTCATTTGACAGGAGGATGCCTTGCGTAAACGAGCAGAAATTGGTGGTTCCAAACGATTATTTAATAACACTGAGTCATTTTGAAACCAATAGTTAACTTCGATTCTCTTAACTTGATAGTATCTTGCAAGAAGTTGTGTAATCAAATTGAATTGTGAGTCTAAAATTTCTCGATGTTTTTTAGAGTTGATCATCTTTTTGTAACTGTCTCCATCCACTATAGCAAGAGGGGGACGAACATCGTATGAACCTGAGATAATGGCTTGAAGTATTTTTATTGGAAGTAAGCCCAAAGACTGATAGAGATAAATCTCCGATGGAAGTCTCTGAGATAAAACACAGTGAAGTTCGGTTGGAACGCAAAACATATCATTCGTGCTTTTTTCATCGCCTTGATTCTTTGCAGCTTTTTCATCACTTTTCGAAGAAACTCCTTTGTCGACATAGCCCAATTTTGACAATTCCACCTGAAATAATTCAACATGACCGCTAAGATTCATTATCGGCATATACTTTATAGCTGTGTGACCATTGTAGTACAAATCAAGCAAGTAGGAGTCGTTAAGACTTGAAATATACCCGAAGAGGTCAGCTGGTGGGCCATCGGTTGTTGCATATTGAAAAAGTATGTCCAAAGCCATTCTGAAATGGTTCATATGTGGGAAAGGGGAGTGTATCGAAACAATTGGAACAGGTGGAAAAGTTGAAAACGTCTCAGGCTGTGCGCAGCATCCAACCATAATACTCAAGTCAAGGAGCTGTCTTTCTGTTAAGTTTAGTTCTTTCAAAATTCTTTGCTTGTCCACAAACCTAAATTCTTTCGACTGGAATTCCATTCCCAAGATAAAATTATCAACATTTGTGAGAAGCAAGTCAGTTGATCCATAGATACAGTCAATGACTTTACTTCGATACAAATATGACAACTGGAATGAAGCGTCATAAGGGCTCACCATATAGTCAACGCCACATTCAATAAAGAGTTTGATGACGTCATTCATTAATGAAACGATAGGCAAAGGTTCAGTACCGTAGCGAAATGATTCCCCAGAAACTCCAAAAGCGTTTCCACTCAAACTTGCCTGTTTTAAGTTTATTCTAGACCAGGTCGCATTTAAGTGTTGTTCCTGAGCTGACAACTCATTCGCTTGATATTTTTTCTCTTGCTTTATTTTGAGTCCAGGGAGAATGAACAAAGGTCTAATGTTAGATGCTTCAAAAACACTAAGATCTGATTGAACATATTGCTTCAAAGATGACGGAACACCCCCTATTCCGTACAATAATTGTTCCTTTTTTAATGTGTATATGCGGCTTAAATAATGTTCCACATCAATTCCTATCGTTGCGTTCTCTAGAATTTCTATTGAGCTAGTGTTGACGAGCTTGCTCTCGAACAAAAATGATTCAAGTGATTTGATTGGCATTGGGGAGAGATTATGCGATTTCGTTGGTTATACTCCTTGTGTTTTACAGCGCATAAGGTATATGCTGTCATTTTGAGTTGAAAAAGCAGATGTATTGTATACAAGACATTGTATCCATCTAATTGTCACCACGATTCGAAGTCGCAATAAGCCCACTCTTCCGGATTCGACACCCTTCTCTTCAACCTATCAGTTCGATTGTATTTAAATTTTAAACCGTTAGCACAAAATTTGTATAATTCAACTTATCATCTCGTCACACACTAAACAAAAGAAAAAAATCCAAAAAATCTTTCATACATATTTGGATAACCAAACTTGATCCGATGCTTTGCAACCTCGTAATCTATATTTCCAAAAAGGTCAAATTCTGAACCTCTTTTTGGGGAAGCTCTCCTTCACCACAACAAAAAAAAACAGCTTGTTTAATACTTATATATCAATTTTATTCGTATTGTGCTCGTGACTATATTTGCTAGCCACTTTTTAGACACAGCATTCGGGTTTTTCAAATATCTCAATTTTGAATCTATTTTATTCCAGAACGTCTACCGAAGAGTGTGAGTTCGGGACATTTCCCTCTTTCCATCCCAAGAATGCCCACAAACGATCCCATTGACCTTTCTTATGCAACATTGCAAGAACCAATACAACGGGTAATTGCCATACTGAACACCAAAAAAGTTGTTTTGCTTGAATATTAGCGGCTTGAAGCTCAGCTTTCGAAGGGGTAAAATTTGTGGTATGATTTATGCGTTGTTGTTTCCAAAAACGGTATGCGAGCATGGTGAGCCAAAAATTAGCAACACCAGAATCAAATGGAAACACCCAATCCGTAACTTCAAAGTAACTCAAACCAACACAAATTGGAAACATTAGCAACGAGTACCTAAGCGCCACGCGGGCATTAAGCTTGGGGTTTTCGGCTGCGGTCATCACATATCCAGCACCTTTATATTGATCTGCAACATTGTGCGACAAAGCATTGAAGTGTGGGAACTGCCATGCATATAATAGGGCCGCCAAGCACCATCCACCGGGATGAGAGAGCGAAGTCGACGCAGCCCAGCCCATGAGAGGGGGTATGGCGCCTACTATTGCGCCCACCCATGTGTTCAAAATAGATAAACGCTTGAGAGAGGTGTAAGTCCATCCATAAAGTCCGATATTTAGAAGTCCTAGGAATGCGACTGTTGGGTTTACGCCCATGTACAAGATGGTGGTTCCTAAAACTCCTGTCAGGGCTGCAAAGGAAAAGGCTTCTGTGGGTGATAATTTTCCTGTAACAACCGGCCTCATAGAAGTCCGGCTCATTTTTCTATCAAAATCTGGCTCTCTGCCCATATTGATAGCGTTTGCGGAACCCGAACATAGAGCAGTTCCGACAGTCAAAAACGCTAGTTCTGCAATGGATAAAGAATTAGGTGAAATTGCGTAGGAGCAAATTGAGCTCAATGTGACCAAAACAGTGAGGTTCGGCTTCGTTAACTTAATAAAGTCCTTTACTTTGTTCCGTGGACTCGACGCCTTCTGGACGGTCTTTTTATTCATGAAGGCAACATTAAAGGGTTGAGATTCGTGCTTTGAAGAGAACCCCTTATTCTTGAGTGGTAGGTTTACGTCTCCAAGTTGTTTATCACAAAAATGTTCGTCACTCGAGACCCGGGTGTCGACTTTTTTCGCTTTGAGTGGCTTGGGAAGGCCTTCTGATATATTTCCGGTTTTTATCCTCAATTTTCTTGAGCCTAGTAAGATTGCATTAGAAATAAAGTTTTGATCTATTTGTAGGCCCTTCTTGGCATTTGAAAAGAAAAAATTGAAGCTGGAGGCATTATTTAGTTTGTTTGTATACGCCAACCTATAAAACATCATGGTAGTTCTGCCGCCGGAATAGATTTGGTACTGCTCAGACATAATCCTCACCTTGACCAAAAGCGCACGACTGACGACGCACGAAGGTGATCGCGCTTCCCCATTCGAATTATGTGTGGATCTCTTTTCGCTTCTCAATCAACTTTTTATTCTCCAATTTGTTTTCAATCAAATCATGGAAAGCAATAATTGATCTAACCAAAGTACTCGTGTAAATCATCATCATTTCATCATTAGTTTTCACTGTAAATGCAGTTGCAAGTGGGCTTGAGCTGTTCTCAGCCCTTTCAGATGCAATAGATTCAAAAATTTTATCAGAATCGCCAGTGCTCTGGGCTAAGTTTGGTAGTAAATTGAAAACATTTTGCAATTTCCCGAGAATCAAATGGTTCAAAGGAAGTTCTTTCTCGTTCACCTTTCTGAGATAATTGGCAATCTCTCTCAATTTTTGATGCAAACCCATCAACGACTGATATCTCTCTGTGACTCTGAGAGACAAGTTTCCAGCAGCTTGATCTCTAATATCACGTAACAAATGCTCTACTCCTATTTCTTCTGCCTCCTCTGCTTCGATCAACGATGGTATATGAACAAAAGTTCTCTCCGCTTTTGAGCCGTCGTGCTTAATATCATCAACGGCGAAATAAGCATCCGTGGGAATACCAACAGTTCTGGGTTGTACATCAACAATAACCAACAATGGGGATGGAGTGAACTTTTTGAAGACGTCATTGATTTTCAAATCAGAGGCTCTGAGTTTTGGCCCTGAGTGATACCATCCAATAAGTTTCTCTTTTGCATTAATCTTTTTAAACATTTCAGTCATTGACTCGATAAAGTTATGATCCAAGAACCAGACTGACGAATTTTTCTCATCTTCTTCAAAGGGAATTGCAAATGAATTCGTCACTTTGATAGTGTTGGATTCGCTATCTCCCAAGAGAACACCAACAACTCTTTTCTTAGAATCTTTTGCTACTCTATCATAGTGGTCAGCTACTGAAAGTAACACAAGGGGTGAAACAGTAACTGTTTTGCTCAAAAAAGTGTTTTCTTTGATACTTGAACTCATAATCGGCTGCAGGTACTCTTTGTAGGCCTTTTCTTGAACTTACGTTTTGTTCGCCTCCCAACTTTAGTGCGCGCACCACACCAAATATATGTTAAGTGCATCCCTCGTTCTTTTTTTGACCCCATGTTTGGTCAAGTGGTTATAGGACCTCCAGGAAGTGGCAAATCTACATATTGCCATGGGATGTATCAGTTTTTATCAGCCATAGGTCGGAAAAGTACCATTATCAACCTTGATCCTGCAAATGCAAATTTACCTTATCCATCTTGTTCGTTTGACATCCGAGATTTTGTGAGCGTGGAGGAAATAATGGAAAGCCAGAACCTTGGTCCAAACGGAGGATTAATGTATGCTCTTGAGAGTCTTAGCGAGAATGCTTTGGACTCTATCATGAAAGAATGGGAAGAAATAGGAAAAAATAGTTATTTGCTATTTGATTGCCCCGGCCAAGTTGAGTTATACACGCACCACAATGCATTTTTCAAAATCTTTAAAAGGCTCGAAAATAAAACAGATGCCAGATTGTGTGTTGTGTCATTGGTGGATTCTCTCTACTTAACAAGCCCCTCTCTGTATGTGTCCGTCTTACTTCTTAGTTTGCGATCCATGTTACAACTTGACCTACCGCACATCAACGTGATCTCCAAAATCGATAAGCTTCAATCATACGGAAAGCTAGCTATGAGGCTAGACTTTTATACAGAAGTACAAGATCTTAAGTATCTTGGAAAGTTTTTGCAAAAAGAATCGCCATCACTCTTGGGGAAGAATTATGTTCGGCTCTCAGAAATGATAGCAGAACTTATTGAGGACTACAATCTTGTTTCGTTCGAGGTTCTTGCAATTGACAACAAGCAGACTATGATAAACATTCTACAAGTTATTGATAAAGCAAATGGGTATTTATATGGGAGTACAGAGATTGGTGGTGATCTGGTGTGGACCCAGGCTACTCGCAATGGTTGGAGTACATCCAGTGATATTATAGATATACACGAGCGATGGGTAGATAACAAACAACTTTATGACAAAATAGAGTGTGAGCGTGACCTGCGGAGTGTGCAAGAGGAAACATTGGATCATTGAGTCTGATAATTCTAGAATCTAAAACTCAGTTAGTAAAGCTTTTGCAACATCTAAATTTTCTTCCCCATTGTACTTTGCCACGAAATCTGCGAGTTTTGTTCTGTATTCCGCAATCCTCTTGTTTAATTCATCAATCATTCTTTTTGATTCCGATGTGATCTCATGTTGCTTCTTGATATCATACGCGTCGGCCATACACGATTCCATCTCCCCAAGAATTTTCAATTCCGCTTCCAACTCCTTGAAGTATAAAGCTTTTTCTTTTTTGAGCCTTTCCAATGCTCTTGTTTGGATTTGTAGTTGTGAAGGTGGCATATTTTGGGTGCGTGGTATACTAGGCAATCTTTAAACCCATTACCAACACCTTTTTATCTGTCAGCTCGTTTCAACTCAGTATACACAGGGGCAAAAATTCCTGCGAAGCGCTGTGTATATCTTCTACTAACTGATCGTCAGATTGAAATTGTCAATGCCACAACAATGGGCTGTAATAATTTTTGTTTCTGACTGAACATATAAATCAATTGGAAATAATATGATGGTTAACAAAAACATGCATGCATTGCGCTCTTACCTCAATGTATGAGAAAGAGTAGAAGTCGAAAATACCATTATCCCCTGTAAAGACAAGTGTTAAATTCTTACAGAAATCGGAGAAAGATATTAAACATAATTTGAAGATCATTATGTAAAACTATATCCTATTTTAGAAATGTATCATCCGTCTAGCGTTTAAAGCGACTCAAATCAAACCTGCACAAATATTCTTATGTGTTAAATTTAATATAATTTCTGTTCCTGAATGCAAAGAATTTTAATGTTGTTGCTTTGATATTAAACAAATGCCTCGATCACATCACAATCTAGATGACAAGTGATAAATGACTGACGAGGTCGCACTTTACAAAGTTTTGCGGTTAAAAGTTTCAAATGATCAGGGGTGTAGTAACCCCCATCAGAGATTCAAAATCATTTGCAAACCAAAAAATGTCAATATTCATCCCAGAATTTGCATTACTGATTTTGGCCTTTTGTGCTTTTGGATGGCAAACTCTTTTCATCCAGTTATATTCTTCTTTTTGATACTATTTCGTTCTAACCAGGATTGTCCGACATTATACAGTCCGGATTAGGGGAAGATTTTCGAACAGGATTCTGAACAAGACAGACCTCATCTCAAATGATTAATGAAACTGTACACGATGGGATTCTCGGATCTGAAAAAGCTCGCTTGGAAGAGCAAAATAAGACATTGTTCAGTTTATTGGATCTGATAGTTTCAATCAAAAACAAACATACTGATGATTTGATCGTTCACATAGGATGTGGCTTCTGGACGAGGAAAGCGCCATCTGCTGCTATAGAATTCATAATGCGCCAAATCAAAGGCAACATCGACATGTTGGAAAAGCTCTCGGCACAAATATCAAAACAATCAGAACACTTTGGAAGCATAGAAGTTAATCAGGATTATTTACAAAATGATGAAACGACTTTAACTCTGGTATTGCCAATCGTGGAAATACAGGAAGATTTAGATGAGGATGGAAATATTATCAGCACAAAATTAAACAATGAACCTTTTTCCATGAACTTAAGCAGCGATGGTGTGTCCGAAAAAACTAGTTCGGATGTTTCTCAGGTGGAATTTCAACATATTCTGGATATCACACTAAAGCCTTGTAACGTCACTAAAGATGTGGAGGAAAAAAGAGCGAATTCAGATGAACAGCTTGATGAGCTATTTAATGATATGGGGATAATTGTTCAAGGCACTGACTCGGGTGATATCACTGAGGAACATGAGAATATTTTAGCCCAAATAGGCACTAAAGCTACATTAGATCCTACGAATATCTATGAGTTGGAGCTTATTGCAGGTAAATTTCAAACAGAAGAAATATTACTGGAGGATGACCACGAGTTTGACTACGACTTCGAATCCGAAGATGAGCTTTTCGAAATTGAGTCACATTCTAACTTCACATCTGACATCGACACTTTGATGCTTCCTGGTAATTCCGATGCTAGAACACGTCTACGGGACGAAATAATTGCCCACAGAAGACAACGACAGGAGGAGGCGGAGAAAATTACAAGTAATGAAACCAGAAGAGTTCGTTTTCACGATACACTTCAAATAAAGGAGATCGAAGATGTCAGCCAACACTTGCGAAATATCGAACATAAGAAGCAAGGATTGCTGAGATTCAAGGAAGCCAAACTTTTACTGGGGGAACATCTGTCATCGATAGACATACTTGAGCAAAAGTACGATTCATCGACATTGACATCGACAGATCACCATACAGTTTCTCAGCTTGAATCGATTCTGCAGCACTCAAAAGAAGACGAAGTTATGTCGGATGTTTCGGAAAGAACTTCTTTCCATTCAAATGAAAACTCCACTCCGAAATTGAATTGCGAGGCTCGTGTCAGTAAGTTTCGAAAAAGCATAGCGTCGAGAGAAACTAGCCAAGCTGCTTCACTGAATACTCATACACAAAAACTGAACAAAACTTCAAGCTCTTTGTCTTTCGATGATAACCCTAAAAGAGTTTCAAATCTTCCCGTTGTCGATTCAGATATTAAGAAAAAAAATACATTCATAGATGTTCAACACTCAACCTCCAATACCATCGAAGATGAAATATCCAGAGACCAGATGAATAAATTAGTACAAGCATATCATCACGGAGAATTTGATGACGATCTCAATTTAACAGGTCCAGTTGTTAACAAATTGGATGACTTTAGCTTGTTGAATAAAATTATTGAGTCTATGAACGAAAAGAGCCCCGAAGTTTCACACGTATCTGGGTTTATTGAAACAGAAATTGAGCCAGACGCAGCTGATGAACTTGAAAGTTCCTCGCCATACTCTAGTGACGAGGACATTATAACTGATTGTATCATTGAAAGGGAAGAAGAAGATTTCAAGGAAGGAGATACCTATCATACCGACCAAGTACAACAGGATGTCATCGACAGGGAAATTGCTGAGCAGTATCACCGTTTGAAGAAAAAACTCTTTACTACGGACAAACATACCCCTCAAGAATTTGAGTATGATGATGAAGGAACCATGAGCAAATTTAAATCCAGGCAATTGCGAATGGATTGATCTGTGATTGATCTTGGAAGGCCAAGAAATGGGGACTGTTAGAATGAACAGTCTTAGACAATATGTAATGTCTCCATCATCGCCTTTCTCTCTGATCATTATAAACAACACAAATCCCTGTTCTTTTGCTTTCTGCTTACGGAGCAAATTTGAACAAGTGAAGAGTGATCGTGATCTTTAGTTGACCGTGACGAATGTCTCGATAACACCTCGTAAATTATCGGAAATATCGCTCGCAAGATTCGAACACATTTAAACTCAGCCTCCCCACTAAAAGTGGGGAAGCACTACTTGACACGTTCTCCATTCTATGCTAGAATTTTGTTTATACAAAGCAATTGGTTTGATGAGTATTCCTCACCATTAAAGCGATGTCCGTAATTTCTAGTGATTCAGGGTATTTACACAGTGTGGTCATGATGCATTTTTACTTTCAAACCGGGCACTATTCTGATTCTGCATATATAAAATGCGATACTGGAAACCCCAAGTTCGGACTACGAACCTGTGATATTTATATGCAGTCCCACCAATGAAAATCTCTCTATTCCACTAAAAGATCGCTACGTTCCGAACTTGGGCCGAATTTGCGGTATTTATCGTACCGGACTATCCCCACAATGCACGACCTCAGACACGTATAAATAGACCCCGCGATTTCGGCGTCCACCTTCCCCGGCCTTGAAATAATAAACTTGAAGCTGATCATTTTCATAAGAAAGTTGTTTCTGGAAGGTACTATTGTTTGTTCCTGTTCCAAATATTGACTCGAAAGTATCTGTCTTAAATCACATTGATAGACCTGCACACTATCATACATATCCCCGCTATATTTTGGATTTGGCAGGACCCAGCAAATTTTCCATCGACAGCATCGTTTATTTGTAACCACTATGTCTGCCCTTTTGAAACAGAGAGTCAGGTATGCTCCATACTTGTCCAAGTTAAGAAAGCCCGAGGAATGTATTGAGCTCTTCAAGCACGGTCAATACTTGGGCTGGTCCGGATTTACTGGTGTCGGTGCGCCAAAGGCTGTCCCGGAAGCACTTCTTAACCACGTGGAAAAGAACAACTTGCAAGGAAAACTTGCTTTTAATTTATTTGTCGGGGCTTCGGCTGGCCCAGAAGAATCTAAATGGGCAGAAAACTCAATGATCTTGCGTAGATCCCCTCACCAAGTTGGTAAGCCCATCGCAAAGGCCATTAACGACGGCAGAACCTTGTTTTTCGACAAGCACTTGTCTATGTTTCCTCAGGATCTCACCTATGGATTCTACACAAGAAACAAGGAAAACGATCTTCTTGACTACACTATAATTGAAGCTACTGCTATTACTGAAGATGGCTCGATTGTTCCTGGGCCAGCTGTTGGTGGCTCACCTGAAATGATTTCTGTTTCCGACAAAATCATCATCGAGGTCAACACGGCAACTCCTTCTTTCGAAGGCATTCATGACATTGATATGCCTGTGAACCCTCCTTTTAGGCAACCATATCCGCACACCACTGTTGACCACAGAGTCGGACTCACGGCAATTCCCGTCGATCCTTCGAAGGTTGTTGCAATTGTGGAATCTACGACTCGTGACAAGGTTCCACCAAACACGCCATCCGACGCAGCATCAAAACAGATTGGCGCAAACTTAATCGACTTCTTCGAACATGAGGTGAAAATGGGAAGACTTCCCGAAAATTTGTTGCCTTTGCAATCTGGTATTGGAAATATCGCCAATGCTGTCGTTGAGGGTTTGGCAGACTCGGATTTCAAAAACTTGACAGTATGGACTGAAGTGTTGCAGGACTCGTTCTTGGATTTCTTCGATTCTGGGTCGTTGGATTTTGCTACTGCCACATCCATCAGATTGACGGAAGCTGGTTTCAAAAGATTCGATGAGAACTGGGATGAATTTTCCCGTAAATTGTGCTTGAGATCTCAAGTCGTCTCTAACTCCCCCGAGATTATCAGAAGACTCGGTGTCATTGCGATGAACACTCCAGTTGAGGTTGACATGTATGCGCATGCAAACTCAACCAATGTCATGGGTTCCAGAATGTTAAATGGACTTGGTGGATCTGCAGACTTTTTGAGAAATGCCAAATTATCTATTATGCACACTCCCTCCGCAAGGCCATCCAAGATTGATCCTACTGGTGTATCTTGTGTCGTCCCTATGGCCCCTCACGTTGATCAAACCGAGCATGACTTGGATGTGATAGTTACTGAACAAGGTTTAGCTGATTTGAGAGGCCTCGCTCCAAGAGAGAGAGCCGTTGAGATCATAAACAAATGTGCTCATCCTGACTACAAGGATCAATTGAAGGAATATTTCGACAGAGCTTGCTTCGCTGCTAAGAAGTCTACTTCATTGCACGAACCTCATATTTTGAGAGATGCTTTCAAAATGCACATGAACTTCCAAGAGAATGGAACCATGAAACTCAAGTCTTGGGATGACAAAATTTAGTTTATTGAGTTGCCGCAATCAAATAGAATTCGATAGAAGTCATAAAGCCCAATTTCAACCTTTTAACTGTATATTAGTCACGTGATCACAGAGTTTTCTCGAAGCTTTGGCAAGCGCGAATGAGAGGATAAGGTAGAGTTTCACGTGTGCCATCTCCAATTTTCCAACTTCAACAAGATGCTCGGCACTTTGAAAACTCAGTTTACTATTGCAAAAGCAAGTAGTCAATCGAGAGTGTTTTCTCGATCTATAAGCTGCACGGCGAAAAAGTGTATTGATTTCGATCCTTATGATACTCTCGGAGTGAATAAAAGCGCAAGTCAATCTGAAATCAAGAAAGCTTACTACCAGTTGGTCAAGAAAAACCATCCAGACGTAAATAAAGAGAAAAATTCTGAGAAGAAGTTCCACAAAATTCAAGAGTCTTATGAGCTTTTGAGTGACAAAGAAAAGAGAGCGCAGTATGATCAATTTGGAAACGCCGCCTTCGATGCCAATGGAAATTCCAATCATTTTGCTGGTGGTAATCCTTTCGGTGGCTCACAAGGGGGGCCTTTTTCTGGCATGGGGTTTGATTTCGAAGATTTATTCAAACAAGCGTTTAATGGGGGGTCTCAAGGAAGAAGTGGTGGTAGAGGACAGTTCGTGACCGAGCACGTGGGAGATAATATCGAGGTCTTAAAAACTATTTCTTTCAAAGACGCCATATTTGGCACTAAAGTTGACGTTAATTATAAAGCAGTCGACACATGCTCATCTTGCTCGGGTTCCGGTCTAAAGAAAGGAAAAAAGAAGAACACTTGCCGTACCTGTCATGGTTCGGGACAAAGTGTCCACGTCATGGGAGGATTTCAGATGAGCTCGACATGTAATGCATGTAGCGGGTCTGGTGTTACAATTGAGAGAAAAGATCAATGTTCTTCTTGTAACGGAAATGGTGTCGAAGAGATCCCGAAATCGAGTTCTGTTGAATTGCCTTGTGGAATTGCAGACGGATCACGGCTCAGAATCCCAGGTGGTGGTGATGCTCCATTTGTTACAAAGGATGCATACAATCAAACCAGGAATGGAGACTTGATCGTGCGTGTTCACGTACAAAAAGATCTGACGTTCGAAAGAGTGAAAAACAATATTGTCTTGAATCATGACATTCTCATGACAACTGCCGCTTTGGGTGGTGAGATCGTTGTTCCAACCATAGATGGTCAGAAAATTAAGCTTAAAATACGCCCTGGTGTTCAATCCGGGAAAAAGTTGACGATACCGGACAAAGGTGTGCCAATAAATAGAAACATGGCCAACAGGGGCGATATGGTTGTCGTATTAAATGTGAGGACTTTAACACCGGAGACTCCCGTTCAAACAGCCTTGCTTGAAGCCCTCTCCGACGCATTCAATGACAGAAACGCCAAGAGAATGCACGGTGACTTGAAGAATGATATCGATGAATTGCAACACGATGAAGCAATAGACGAAAATCAATTGCACCCCTCCAAATTGAAGAAAATGGGACAAATGCTCGGTAAATTCTTCAATTTGAAGGATGAACAGAAATAGATGTTCATATTGCGCTCCAATGTTGTAAATAGAAGAAGACGTGTATGTCTAGGATTCGCATGTATTATTTAGTCGATACTTCCCATTTATGTGTCAAGAGAAAAAAAATCTGACATTTCTGGCCTGTCCGATGAGTGTCGGAGGTAACACGCCAAACAAAAACTAGAATCAACAATGAACAATATTGGGTCACTGATACAAAGGCGAAAATCTTGAAGTTTTGTGAATCGAAACTAAATGGGAAAGAAGGCTCAAGATTTACAACAGCACCCTAGATTTTCACGTCGCTTATACATATATCATCACCCTTACGTAAACATTGTCTAATATGGCTGGTGGTTTAATTGATCTTTGCTGCATTTAACGCATCACATAGTTTGCTTGCCTTCTCTGCCGAACCAACTTTCAAAACGTAGGTCACAATTTGATGCTGATCGTCAAGGGCTGGGAGTCTGACAAAAGAACCATTACCTAAAGTCGAGTATTGGACATCTTTCAATAAAAGAGCATTCAACAAAAGCCTCAACCCACCTTCAGCTCTTAGTAGAACACGCAGAGTGCTCCTCTTTAGGGATTTTAAAAGTTTGAGCTCACCAACTCCTAAACTTTGATATGGATCTTTAGCGTTGTCTTTTCTAAGCAACATCAACTTTGCTTTCACTTCGAAAAGAACAGATTCTCCATCATCGTCATTTTCCAGGATTGGCTTTATTTCATTATTCGAATTTATATTTTCCTCAGTGGAAGCCTTCTCGTCTTGAATTGGTTTCTGAGAAAAAACATCATTGTTGGGTAACTCACTGCCATGAGAAACATTTAGGCTAGTGAAACCCGAGGATTGCGCTACAGGCAGAGCTTCAAACTTCGAATGAATTGCTTCATTTGGTTTGCTAATAGTAACACGTTGTGCGACAAATCCAGAAGAAATCGCCTGATTGGCTGGCAATTTAAAGACAGGATCTTTGATTTCCTTGTTGAATGTGAAAGATGGACCTTTCACTTCGACTTCTGGTTCAGAATCAGAATCAGAATTTGCTTTTTTCGTAGATTTTTTGGGCCCAAAAGAGAATGTTGTGCTCTTGGTGGTAGGAATTGCAGATAAACTAAACTTCGGCCCATGAATTTTCACGTCAATCTTTTCACCATCGCTCTGCAGTTCGGATTCATCAGATATATTGCCTAACTCCGATATCTCTTTAACGTCAGAAGACTTTTTATTAGATGTCGACACTCCCGCAAAAGGGTTGACGACATCGTTACCTTTCCTCATCTCTGCAACTTCATCTTTCGAGCCAGAAATGTCTTTTGATGCGTTTACTTTGCCTGTACTTTGGGCGTCTATTTCGATCTCTTCATAATACATGAGGTACTTCTTCGCAAGAGCTCTATAATCAGGCACACATTGATCCAGTTTAACACTTAGCACCGCTTTGGAAAAATTATTCCCTAAAGCCTTGAGCTTCTCGGCTTTCTCAGTGTGTGGAGTTGTAGAATTCGTGTTTTTTGTCGATGACTCGGTTGTCCGTCTCGAAAATTGAAAGTTCCGACCCTTCGGTTGAAGGATTTTTCTTTTTGATATGATATCAGCAGAAGCCCGTTCATCGCAAACATCTTCATTAGAATTATGCGAAAGGCCAAGGCCTTCTCTCGTGATCTGCTCGTCAGCTGACCTTTTGGCCATTTGTGTTGCTGTTCTATCGACCGTCTTAATCCAAATCGCAAGACATTACAATAGGGTCTGAGCCCTAGATTGTATACTCGCACGTGGTTGATTGGCTAATATGTAGGGCGATGATCCCAACATGCAAAGTATGCGCCGAAAAAAGCTTACACGTGATGCGGCCTGAGCATGCGCACCGAAAAAAAAAAGAGAGCAGAAAGGAGATTCCGGTTTCTTCCTTTTTTACATCAGCAAGCTTGAATCAAAGTATGTAACATCAACCCACGCTTTCCGAAGCAACTGGTTTAGTCCTTTCAGTCTTAATGTGCTCTCTTGGCAAACAAGAAGGCTTTCTTTGATACATCCGCATTTATCATTGATCTGTTTCGAACTTTTCCTGAACGGCACTCGAGCTAGTTTACTAACAGATTCAGATGGCACCAAAGATTCAACAGACTAAGGCCGCCAAGGCTGCCGCTGCTTTGGCCGGTGGTAAGAAGGGTAAGAAGAAGTGGAACAAGGGTAAGGTTAAGGACAAGGCCCAACACGTTGTGATCTTGGACCAAGACAAATACGACAGAATCATGAAGGAGGTCCCAGGCTTCAAGTTCGTTTCTGTCTCTGTCTTGGTGGACAGATTGAAGATTGGTGGCTCTTTAGCCAGAATTGCTTTGAGACAATTGGAGTCTGATGGTGTTATCAAGCCAGTCGTCAAGCACTCCAAGCAAGCTATCTACACTCGTGCTTAAATTTTATAGTTACGTCTCATAATCAATGATCTACAGTTACAAAAGAATTTTGAACGGTATCCGTAATGTGCTTCAAGCACTCCACCACAGCGTCTCGTTTTTTTTTTTTTGCCCGAGCCGTGCAGGATGTTAAGTGAGCCGAAGTGAGAATAAAAGATTACCATAAAATCTTCTCTCCATACCATGTCCCAAGTCATCCGGGCTAGACCGTTGCTACAAAGACGATTACTATTTGGATCAAGTCGCGGCAAAGATGGGTTTCAGACTTACAGAATCACTAAGAAAATTAGCACGCATCCAGATCAACTATATCTGATTATCACGGACGTTTCAAAATACGAAGAATTCGTCCCCTTTGTCACAAGCTCATTCGTCAACCAGTATGACCCGGATACAAAGCTACCCACAGAGGCTGGATTACGAGTAGGGTGGAAACAATATGATGAGAGCTTCACCTGCAAATTAATTTGCGAAGAAAACAAAGTCATTGCCGAGTCTATGAGCATTCTGTTGTTCGAAAGCTTGTACAATGAGTGGAATCTTAAAGAAGTGAAAAGTCGATTCACAAATGAGCTGTCAACATTGGTTGAACTTCTGTTGCGATACAAATTCAAGAACCCCTTTTACAATACTCTCTCCTCCATGTTTCACAACCAGGTGAGCAATATCATGATAAAGGCTTTCGAAGAACGCGCCATGAATTTGAAAATACAAAGCAAACTCAAAGACAGGATGAACAATATAGCATGAGAACAAATAATTTTGCCATCCAAAATATCGTGTATATAAACGCAAAGGGCAAAGGAGGGGCAACAAATTAATGAAGTCCAAGAAGAAACATGCCTAATATTTATGGGACATAATGCACAGGCAAGTTTGTATGCAAACTTTTCGTACTTGGGGAAGGTGAACTTTAACAACAGCTGAGGAAGTATCATGAGCTCTTTGGTATTAAAGCATGTGATCCAACAACGTACTCTTGTAAGCTGTGATGAGGGGTCCTGTTTAATGCCATGCCAGTCATTTGAAGCTCTTCCAAATTACTGGATGTATCCTGTTTTGAACTTGCGGACAGCCAATATACCTTAGTATTGATCAATCTTGTCTTCGAGAAGTTTCCCCACGCATTATGCTCAAGATTATGCACGGTAGAGGGACTTGTAACATAGCGCGAGATCAACGGTGTGATGTTAATGGGCTTCACAATCAGTTTGTTTTGCCACTTATCGTTAAACCCAAGAGGCCTTATACACTTCAAACAATTCCGAAGAAAACGCCTTTCGCTCTCAAGTTTGTACATCGGGTTCCACTTGTCATCATCAATTCTTCTTGTACTCGACTTAATAAGATCAGAGCACGTCGAAATTTGGGTGTTGCCCACGTCCATATCATCTGCATCGGAATCTGCTTCCAATTCATCTTCATCTTCATATTCTTCTTCAGACTGCTGAAATTCATCGGAAGTTCTACTCAGAGTAGTAGGACCATCAGGTGTGAAGTCTTTGCTAGATGAAAGGTTACTCTCCGATTGACCACCATTAGCTTCAGTGAAACCAGAAGATTGATTAGTTTTTCCCTTTCCGACTGAAAGTCCGGGAGTCCTCTTCAGTTTCATGTTTTCCACATGATTAATGGGATTTGGTACTTTCTGAACTCGTCTGATATCTGGCGCTAAATTCCGTGGGATATGGAAAGGCTTTGATGTGAAATTGGTTTGATCGCTGACCAGTGACCCCGAAGTAAATGACTTGAACATAAGACCGCCAAACCCCGTGTGGGACTTTGGGCTCCTCTGCTTAGGATGGGGATCAGATTGGGACCTTAATCGCCCGGCCATTGCATCATTCAGATTCATGGTGGTTGAAAACAATGTGTTCCGTCTTCTTCTAGGAACAGTTCGATATTTTGGTGCTTCTCGCTCGTTTAAATCCAAAGCAACATCTTTCCCAATAGACATAGCAAGATGCCACTCTATCAATTCTTTTGCGGACGAAAATTGGACAAGAAACTGTTCGTTCTCAAGCCGAAGTCTAAGCACATTGGGCTTCTTGGTGTAGTCATTCGCCAACCCGAACTTAGCATGCTGTAATGAATAGGACCGGATCAACTGATGTTTACTGCTCTTTTGAAGCGTAGAGTGTGATTTTGAATGTAAGCCTAAAGCGTTGGAGAAAGATTTAGTTGCCGCAATTCTCCGGCTCTCTGCAAACTCTGCATTTAAAAGCCCGCTCCTCTCACAAAATGCACGAAGCTTCATATCTCGACTATTAGTGATGAGGGACGAAAACGCGCTTTTGGGAGTTACTTTCCCGATATTCGAATCCAGTTCTTCCACAAAGCTTGAATTGATATTCCACAAAACTTTTTCGAGCTGTGCAGAAACCGCATATATGTTGAGTTGTGTGGAGTTTAACTCTATAACAACAGTTTTCCAAGATCTATTAGAAGAAAGGTCGTAGGGGGAAACACATTCCTGTTTTCTTTGAAAGATTCCCAATTTACAAGCAGCGGGGGTGTATTGTGGCAACTCTTCGTTTCCACTTAGGGTTTCTATGACCGGATACCTCGGACACCCACCAGGTGGCAAATCTTCATAAGATGGCGGAAGAACCGGGTTTGGCTCGATGAACAGTAAAAAGTTGTCATGCATTGTGCTTTCAAAATGTAGTGAACAAACATCCGCTATTCCGCCCGCTTTGGTTTGTTCTTGTTCTGTTCGTGTAGGTGACACCCCAAAAGAAGTGAGGGATGTGGAAGCCGTGCGTGAATTTCGTGTTCCTGTGGAGATATTATCGGAATCGTTCGCAGAATCAATATCTAGTGAATCTTTGATGACACCCCCAGGCATCCCATGGTACATGTGGCAATTGCTGGCCGCGGTCATGCAATCAGTGCCGTCCACCACGGTAGCAGAGTTCTTTCTGCAAAGATGATCAATGTTGATACTTGCTTGGTCATACATAATAATTTCAACTTTTCGTTGAGTTTTGTACGATTATATCAATAAAATTTTATGAAAAACTCCAACTGTAACCTGGGACTATTAGGCATTTCCGAGATCAATGAATGCCACCCTTCAATTAACAAACAAAAGAATGAAAGAAATGAACGAAGACACAAAACTCGAGCTCACAGAATAAAAACAGTATTTGTGTCACAACTTGATATATTTTGGATTTCTTTTTTTAAAAAAATGATGGGAAAAGTACGGGTATCAGATGAGGGTATGGAAAGAAATGGCAGTAAAAAGGCGAAAAGATCACCTCAGATTGCGACCGGAGCGACTCGGGAAAAAGCAATTTTCAGATCCCGGGTAATACCAGGACGTGTTCCATAGACGTAATAAAAGAACCCATTAAGCAAGTGAAGAGCACTTCATAATCAGATGCATGAGAAACAGAAACTAAGTTGCTATGAAAATGACTTTTTCTTCGCCGATGATGTATGTCGATCGGGAAACTTCGGCTAAACATAGGAATCAAGAAAATATCACTCCCCGTGAAGCCTTATCAGACATGCGCGAAAACCGTTATCAGCCTGACCTCATAACTCGAGTTATCAAAATCATTTCATGCTATGCGTGGCGTGACAGCCATTTATTCCTTAATAGTATTACAGGTTCGTGTCATTTATGGGTTTAGTTAATATATGGCTGTTTCCTCTCTCTTTGAGCAAGGGTGAATGACTCGTATACTCTCTGTTGTAAAAAAAATCGCAAATTGCGAATAAAATAGTATAAAAGACAAATATAACAAGAGTTCAAGATAGACTGCACAAAAAATCCCGACAAATTGATATTTGTCTAACGATCTTTTGCGATATTTCATCACAGATACATTTCAGGACGAAAATAACATCAGAATACACTGAAAAGCTGAATTTTTTTCATTTTACTGAATTCTGTCAAATTGTGTGCACGAACTATAACGCCAATGTACACGCCTTGAGAAATATGAAACAGAATTTTGATTCTTTTCACGAAATTTTAGATTTTCAAATTACCATTGATTATCGCAACACCTCCATCACTTTATTCGCGGATTTTTTTGTAACCTAGCTCACCTGATTATTAACTGAGTAATTTAATTATCTAGCGTCAGAGTGCCATGATACAATGCATACCTCTACCCACCTCATGAGGTCAGGGTCAGCTGTATATGCTAAAGGGTGTGATTGGAAAAAAGCTATGAGAAGTGTTTCATTTTTTTCCATAGCAAGAGATTGGTAACCAAATGCCATAATTTGGTCTCCAAACCCCAACTGACAACCTCCTGCTCATCTTCAGTACACACATTGTCACAGTTCGCTGATTTCTTCCCAACTTCGAGTTAGACGCTGACAAAGACACGTGACATCTTGCCAATTGCCAAATGCAATGAGCTGAGTATAAACCCTCCAAACACATATTCAGAAAGTGGCGAGTGTACTGCTCATATACGCGAATGATCCACATCACAATACTGTCCTTACTAATACAATTTCTTAAACTCAATCTTTTTGCTTCGCTTAAGATTAAAGTCAGACTTAGTTCTATTCCGATTTGAAGGAGACAGGAAGTGTCGCCTTTGAGTACCATTTTTTTTTCTTACAATTAATCAAGAATATACAATAGTATCTCTAATCCAGGGAATCAGGAAGAATGAAAAGGAAGAGACTATAATTATACTATTGATCTTGTCATAAAACTGGCGAAGAATTTGATGTTCTTACGAGAAAAAATTATACTTTGACGCGAAAACGCTCCATTCGGACAATAGCGCCCGAACGTTAGAAGACCTGCGCGCGGCAACAAGTTTTTCGTCGTCCCCATGTCTGTCAGCGCTGAAAAGACAATTCTCGAGGTCACCCGAGACCTCTTGAATTATGGTGGAGATGTCAGGCAATATGAGACTAATTTATCATCACTAAGCAGGTTGGTGTCATCAACAGGCACAGACAGTGTGATGAGAGATGCCCTCGTCGATGATCCATCATTTTTGAAACTTTGCACTGATACATTACCTATCATACTCCTGTTTCCATTCCAATCTGAGAGCGAGAAAGATTTATACATCAGAACTGTTCGTGGCCTTGTATTGCTCGTCAGAAACCTTTCTGTCTCAAACTCAGCTCAACCGAAAATTGCAGATGTTATCTCAAGTATGCGGGTGTTCCTTACCCACACCGATCAGACACATCTGTATTTCGCCGTTTCCTTGCAAGCGTATTTTCAAGCTTTTGCAAATATCTTCACTAAAGAGACAATTCGTTCGGCTTGTGACTTTCCCACAATATCAGAGATTGTGGATGCTTCGACCATAGCGTTCATCACCAAAACTGACATACCGGATATGAAACTTCCCCTTAATATCGTTTTGTCCCACCTCTTACAGAACCAAGCCCGAGAGGCTATGGAAACTCAAATAAGAGACAACTGCTTTCTTATAAACTATATCGTTGAACAAGGCTGTTATCAATTGGATTATTCCGAATTCACACCTGACCTCTTACCACTCCTACAAATTATTATTTCACAAGAATCTTTCAGGGCCTGGCTTTGTCAGCAAAAAACAGGTCGTGAAAGAATCTTAAAAGTTTGCCAGCTTGTTGTAACAAGTAAGGAGGACTGGAATGATCAAGAAGCCGCGATGATAATCCAGTGGGGGTTTGACACTTGCAGACAATTCGCCAACGAGTCAATTGACTTGCTCACGTCTAGTCAACACAAGGAGGCACAACTAGCGACAGTTCACGCACTCTTAGTCAGGTCCCTTGATATTATTTCCGACATTTCCAAATTCGAAGTTGCACAGCATTTCTTAAGAAACAACAGTGCGACGGAATTGTTTATTCATCTCCTTAGAGTGGTACATGAGAACACTGAGATCCTCACACATAAGACAAAGGATTCACAAAAAAATTATTCAAGTGACAGTATACAACAGTCAAACAAAAAGCTACCTATGGTCAAATCCCTAATCATTGAGATTATCACGTTTATGTGTCATGATTCGAATGCAATAAAGGACGAAATCCGCACACTTCATGGCCTCGAACTAATACTATCTAGTTGCGTTATTGACGAACACAACCCATACATGAAAGAACATGCAATTTTGTGCTTGAAGTTTCTTTTGCAAGACAACGCAATGAACCAAGAGTTTGTCGCCCAGCTCGAAGCGAAACAAGTGATTGACGGGTCAGCACTCTCTGATGCGGGTTATGAAATCACGATAGCCGATGGAAATGTCAAATTAAAACACAAACCACGCGAATGAATATAATGACAACGTTGCGAACATTTTAGAACCCATCTTTATTCGTCACCCAATAAGAATGAAAAATTTATATAGAATGTCCAACAAACCAAAAACCGAATCAATTTGTCATCCGTTACTTGGTTTGGATAATCTTACTTGTCTACGTATTAAATAATACGCTGTTGTTTTTTCAAATCAATATGATGTGCTCACCCGAAACCGTCCAGGCAATCACCAAAATGGGGGCGGCTGTGTTTCGAGATTTAAAAAGTAGCTAGGAGCTAATTAAAGGTTTGCTATATATATATGATTTGAATAGTTTTGCCCTTTGACTCAGATGAATCGACCTGAAAAAAAGAGAAGAAGCAAACTTATACCCATACAGACACAGAGAGGGGTGGCCTGCGGCAACTCAAGAAAATGAGTGGGGTATACTCCGACGCGAGGTACGTCTTGGAGTGTTGACATATGGTTTTGATATAATAGGTTATATTTACCCCCCTCCAATAAGATAAATTGCCAATGTACAAATTGAAAAACATTTGAATTCGCTAAATTGTCAAACCATCTAAAACCTCAAGCATCATGCCGTCAGAATCGGGTTAGGATAGCGGGAGCAATAGAACGACAAAATCCTCAAACTTACCATTGAACCATTAAGTCGCATTACGCGGTGGACAGAAAACTGTCCTATACTAGTCTGCGATCGCTGACAGACCATCAAGAAAACTCTCAACTCAAGACGGCAAAATTGGCAAAGGCACAACTACAAAGAAAAATAAATACATATCTATACCTGCTCGAGCAAAAAAACAATCTCCCAACAATCAAATATTTCAAGCCTTGCGTCGGTGGCATAAAAATTATCCGAACAGTTGCAAATACACTCGTACATGAGAAGCAAAAAGTACATGTCGATCATTTCAGGTGTATATAATGACTCTATCAGAATATCCTAACATTCCATCACAATATTTACCTCCATTTTGGGTCATGAAGATTTGGTAGCAAAAGCCCTAATGAAAGTAATTCGTTGCAACCTAATGCAATATCCCATAACCTCGTTCGATTCTGCTCTCTAAATCAAGCATAGCCAGTATGATTCAAATCAGACATCCGAAAAAGTCAATATATTAGAGGAAATAAGCAAACTTACAAGTAGCACCAACTGCCCACAAGCTTGATCCATATCATTTTCATCCCCAGCACCCCCTGACTTGCGTCAAATTCATTTCCACACGTTAGAAGAATAATGCAACCAGCATTGCACAACCCAAGTCTCGAATATAATAGGTGAGCATTAGAATTGTTTTTCATTTTCACTAGCTTCATTGGGCAGCACTACACGAGAACCATTTATCAAAGTTTTATCAGCTCCCACCTACATACCAAATGTACTAGCTCCGCCTTTTGCACTTCCGTAAGTCACGGCCTGGACGGTCCTCATGGCCCGTATCTGTTTACGTTTGGGGTATTACGTGATCGTCTCTTAGGATAGGACTCCTGTAGTAGTCGCTTCAACTCAGAGCTATAACGTGCAACACAATACGTGCTATCAAGCCATTCACTAAGTGATATTCACTACATAGTATGCAGCGCCCCACCGAAGTTGTCAGATGAACTCAAAATAAATTAAAGAAATGGCTCCGAATTACTTCCTAGATTTCAATTAATCTTGACAAAGATCTGACAACATAGGCAATACAATAATTTAGAAGCTTATGCATTTTGAAGTTTCAGCAACCAAACTGTGATTGGAAGATCAGAGGACTTCTCTATTGAACATAGTAAACATTTCGAGTAATAATATTCAGATGTGACAAGACTACAGCATTTGCTCTCATCCATAAACATTAATCGTAGAGCAATTAGGAAACTTGCCAAAATCCATGGAATATATGTTCTCATGACGTACCAAATCCCACAGTGAATACCGAATCACATCTGAATACGATGTATTTGCCAAGGTGTCATTGGAACCACAACCTTCTTTATGCACATGTCATGATGAAATCCTCTCGTGGCAATTTATGGAATCATATGTCTAATGAATGTGACAATCAAGTTTCCAGAATTATAATATTTCTACAATGCATAATGTTTGGTCAGTCTGGATGTTGTTCCGATTTGAATTAGGCATGAATCAATTCTATCTTAAAGGCTCATGGTAGATGAGATGAAGGCACTCATCGATTCTTTATAAACAATCTCAATACCGTCAGATATCAATATTTCCACTGCTGCCGAATTGCACCATAGTAGGTGACCATCTTTTCTGATGATAGCCTCATTCTCGAGCTACTCCAGAAAAAGATTGAGGAATCAATTAACAAGTTGATTCGCAATCGCAAATAAACGATTATGCTGGGATCGTAAACTTTGCCCAAGTACGCAATTGGATCGATCCGTGATCTTCAGGTGACAGATTGCTTGAGCATTTTGATAAGAAGTTCAAGAATATCGGTTCATTATTTATCAGTGATTCATGTATCAAACGATCAACGACTACAATAGCAGATGCAAAATTATACAGCGTTTAAGTGAAGCTAAAAGATGATTAAAATTGAGTCTTTGGATGCCAAGGTTGCTGCCAAGAACCCTTAACATACCTCAAAGGCAATACACTGCGCCTGTCTAGCTTGCGAATATTTGTTACTATAAGGATTTCCATATGTCTCACGGCATATGGGATGGGTTCCCGGCACAAGGAGATACGAGGGACACATTGTATTGATTACTTGAGACTGATGTTTTGAATGTTGGATGTTGCGA